CTGTTGGGGAAGTTGCCTTGGCCCTAGGGTGCATGTTGGGGAAGGTGTTTGGAATTTTGGAAGTTTGGATCCTTTGCAGGCTGGCAAACTGCAGCTTTGAGGCCCATAGAAAGTCATTGCTGTGGCCCTGGCCTCTGTTAAGGCAGCTTTGAAAGCATCAAGAAAGTCATTGCTGTGGATCTGAGGTGTTGCCTGCTGGGGACGGTGTTTGGAGGGTTTGGCGGGTTTGGAATTTTGTTTTGGAAAGTTTGGAGCCTTTGCGGGCTAGCAAACGGCAGCTTTGAAATTCATAAAAAGTCTCATTGCTGTGGCCCTGGCCCTGGGGGTTTGGATTTTTGGAGGCGTTTGGAGCCTTTGCGGGCTGGCAAACGGCAGCTTTGAAAGCTCATAGAAAGTCATTGCTGTGGCCCTGGCCCTGGGGTGCCTGTTGGGGAAGCTGCTTAAGGGTAAAGGTTTGGAGGGTTTGGAAGAGGACAAGGTCCACACCTGCGGTGGTCCCAGGCGCCGCCCCGGCCTTGGCGAAGGCCGGGGTCGGCGGATTTCTATGGGCCATGGCTTCCAGTTCGCTATGTTAGTTTACCAGAGGCTAATTCCCATTATATCCCATATAAATCCCATATAAATCCCCTATAAATCACCATGGAATATCCCACCGTGACCCACCTCGGCGCCCATTTCCAGGGCTCCCATGGCCACTGAGCGAAACTTCAGCTTCGCCTACCAGGAGATAATTTAGGGGAAACGACACGAAGATCTGAAAAAAATACAACGGGTATAAGGAGATATCGTCAGTGTATATATAATTAACAATTATATATATGTATATATATATAATCATATAAAGTTAAAAATGATAAAAAACTAGATATTAAATTATATTGGATTGGTTGTATAATTATATTTGTCTTGTGTGTGTATGGATTTCACGGGGTTAAAACTCACCAATTTATGGGAATAATGGTAAGGGTTTACCATTAGATAACTGGATATATAAATGGAGGAGATGACGCTCAAAATTCCGAAGATGGCCTTGTTTGGGTGATGATCAAACATCAAATATGGGGTACACCATTTTCAGTCAAACCCAAATGGATATGTAGTGGGTATCAAATGGGATAATTGTGTTTGTTGAAAATCAAGTGATCTGAAAGTAATGTGGTACTGGGTTAAACCATGTGTATCCAATATCAAACTGGATGGACGTGGGATTCTTTGAAGCATAAGTGGAGGATTTGCCAACAACCAATGAAAACAAATGTAACACCAAGACACTGAATACTATATATTGTCTACATATGAGGTACGGTATATGTATACACCTTATAAAACGCAACCATGTTCAGGTGATATTTCATCGGCATAGGCTGAAGATTTTTGAGTAGCCTCCAACGCAACAACTTGACCACGGCCCTGCCATGTGGGAATTTCACCATAGCGGTTCTCATCAAACAGTTTGGGGGATGATCTGGATAAATCATATTCACTAACCTGAAATCAGATGATTTTGGTTTGATTCCCTATACATCCCTATACTAAGTATCATTCCAGTGAGGTTGCAGTGAGGTCGGTATCCAGACTGATCACCTTGGGTTCCCCCTAAATCAGCCGCCACTGGATCCCCTATCCGCCTGCTGGCAATAGGTCTTGAAATCCCGAGGTGCGTCCAGCGGACTATCGCTCACGCGAGGATTCATGTTGAACATTGCTACACCTCAGAAACCCCAGGATCGTAATCCTGAAATGTGGTTGTCAAGGCTTTTATCAAAGAATCTAAGGTGTGAGAAGCAAAAATATCCCAATGGGCAGGTGAATCTCCTGACATAGTCTGCTTGACCATCATTTTGATGGGTGCTTTTGCCACTTTCCCACACGTCCATCTATGTTTTGGTGAAATCGGAGCCATGGTCCCTTGGAAATTCCCAGAATCTCAGAATCGTCATGATCACGGCAAAATCCCATATATACATACATAACATAACATAAACATAACATAAACATAACATTACATTACATTATATTACATTACATTACATACATATGTATATATATGTATATATGTATACGCAAAATCCTACTAAACTACTTTTGGAAGCAAATATGCTGGTATTATGACGTTTTAAATCACTTTTGAAGCAAAATCCTGGTGGTATGTGACCGCTCTATCGTTTACCTTCTTGAAGCATATGGTCCCATGGGGTCATAACACTGGTTGGAATAAACTGTGACAATGATGGTATCATCCATCATATTTTAGACTGTTAATACATATTACTATTGGAATGTTGGTAATAATAATACTATAAACATTACTATTGGTACATATTACTATTTTATTATTGATGATAATGAGTGCTATTATATTTTATCAGTCCAACAGTAATGGCACTATCATAAATAATAAATGATAATAAAGATACCATTAATGATCAAATTGCTAATAATGATCATCATCTGATGATGATCATGACGATGACGATGACGATAATGATTGTTGTCATTATTGTGATTGAGATGACGATTTATCACTACTATTGTCACTATCATTATCATCATGACCATTACATATTGTTACCATTATTGCCACTATTGCTGTCATTATTACTAGTAGTGTTACTATCATTATCATTATTGCATATTCTTACTATGCTACTATCACATTTTTGTAATTGATAGTAACAATACTGTTGTTTAAAAAAAAACATTCTCATAATGACAGTGATGATAATCATCACTATAAGTAATGTAACAATAATGATAATTTAATGGTTACTAACCATTGATGAATAGCTATTATCAATTAATTATCATCACTGACCATATTGATTATTATGAATAGCTAAGATTATTAAGATCAATGATGGTCTACAACAATGATAACCACTATTAGATCATCATTATCCTCTTCTATCCTCCTATCATTGCTGTCGAGCAGCTACAGACTCCTTGCAGCTTCACCGGGGCATCAAGGAATCCGTAGCCATCGTTGCTGCCTTCCCGGAAGACCTGTGGAGAACCAAAAATCGCAGATTCGGGAACTTCGAGTTCAGCTATGGGAGCAAAATATGTTCAGGTGCTCTGTGTATATATATATATGTATATATATACATATATATATATATACATGTTTATATGATATGTCAATGTATGTATGTATGTATGTATGTATGTATATATATATATATATGACCATGTGCTGTGTGTATATATTATATATAGTGCATTATAGTGCCCAAATGATGAACATATATTGAAAGAACGCACCAATCAGCTCGAGATGATCGGCAGGATGATAATGCGAAGACTGGCTGCAGTCACAAATAATCACCAGCGAATCTGCGAATGGGACGTTCATGGGATTTGGCATGTAACCACTCTTGACTTTAACGAGATTTAGTGGTGAATTGAGCAGGATTTGATTCTTTAATATGAAAGTTTAATATCTATTAATTGAGCAGGATGTGATCACTAACTATTAATTAATTGGCATCACTTTAATATCCTTTAATAGTGATGTTTTGGAGGTTCAGATTGTCAAAGTTTTGTCAAGTCCGGAAGTTGCTCGGAGACTGGCAAGACGGAGCCAGTGATTTCTGTAGATCCCGCTGGAATCGCTACAGCAACCCGAGGGACTTTGGGAATGGACATCCAACCTGTTGCAATTATTCACTTCACATAGTGCACATTTCTATGCATATGTATATTGCACACATATATATATATATGTATATATATATATTGCGTATCATATATATATAGAGAGAGAGAGAAAGAGAGAGTATGATTTAGTATATGCGTGTGTAGTGTATCTGTTCTGTATATGTACATTTAGAATCTGGCTTGAATGATTCATTGAACATGTAGTATGGGTTTGTGTGATAAAACAGGGTAGCCCATTCCATCCCATGGTGTGAAACTTCTTTCTCCGTCTTGAAGTGAACAGTCTTGGCTATCTCATTTCAGACACGCCCACAAAAAAAAAAAATGTTGATATATGCACGCATATCCGCTAAGATATCCCCATGTTGTCACTGTGTATCCATTGATACCCCATATTGTTTGATCATATTCCATTATATCCCACTATATATCGCATCATATATTTGCATTATTGCATTATATTATTTCATTATATTCCCCAGAATCACTCAATGGGGTCAAAACCCTGTACCCCCAACCTCGAATTTCTGGTAAATGGATGTTCATCCCAGAAAAATTTTATTTATAGGTATTGATCCATAGCCATATCACCATATATCAGTTATATAATATTAATATCCCAGTGAAATATATGCTATGTGCCATTAAAATCCCATAGTAACCTACCATAACCACTAATATCCTTAGCCATATCCATTACTCAGGAGGGGGTACAGCACCCCAAAGTGGCACTCCTCCACGAAGGGACTCACAATGCACCCGTCCACCGGCACGTGCGCGTGAAATGCCTCCGGTGAATTCGGTCGAAAATGGGGGCCAAATGTGGTGACAAACCCAATATGTAAGAATGGGGTAGCAAACAAACTGCTTGGGGTTCTGTGGCACTTCGGCTAAGGACTTCAATCGAAGCTGTTCAATCGATGATGTCATTTTAGGAAAAAATGTCAAAACTGGTTCGGTATGTATTCACCATCATGTACCTGTTGGTTCTTTGCTGGGTCAACCACGGGAACAAAACTGGAAAAAAGACATCCATGATGGATATGGCTAACGATATTAATGGATCGTTGTATATGTTTTAATATACTATAGGATGTTAATGGCTAAATCCCATGTGTATATATATATATGATTATATATGTATAAATTAATAGGACATTGGTAGATTTGGCGGATGATCAAGAATCCAGGATGATATGATGGGTCAACTTTGGTCCCGCAGGTCTTGACTCGCTATATAGGCTTCATTTTCCAGTTCCGTTGCTTCATTTTACCCTTGGTTCTTTGTGAAGATTCTAGTACTAGATGAAGCTTAGTGAGTCAAGATTTCTAAGATTTGCTTTCATGTCATGGTGAATCTTAGATCCTAGATTCTAGTACTAGAGTATCTAGCCAAGGTTTACCCAGATGCGTGCTTCTCAAACCTTCAAGTTGATGGCTTTAAGTTGAGATCGTCATTTTTTAATATCCAACTCAGCAACATAGCATCAAAAAACTGTTTTAAATGAACATTTTTTGTGGCTCAATCACCATGTTTTGTTGGTTTAATCCCAAATGTATCCAAATGTCTGGTTTCTGTTTGTTACATCCCAAATTTCTTGATGCTTCAATCACGATGTTGGCATCACACCGCATCCGGTCGCCTCGCTGTCATGCCATGGGCCGTCATGCTCCTCGCCCGTGACATGGGATGCATGGTGATTAATGGCGATTAATGGTGATAATAGCGATACCAAATGGTGATTCATGGTGATTAATGGTGATTAATGGTGATTAATGGTTGATATAATGGTTGATATAATGGTGATTAAATGGTGATTAAAAGGTGAGTAAGGGCGATTAGTGGAATTAGCCTACAGGAATCAAAGGTGGGCTGGGAAATGTCCTGTAAATAGATCAATTTTGTGGGCTGCTAAATGGTATATTTTGTCATCGAGAAAAGGTGGAATTCCCATTGAATGATTTTTGTTTTGTGGGGTTCCCAGAAGCTAATTCACTGGATGATTTCCATGGGGATAACAGGCCATTAACCCTGAATCTGGTCATAATTTGCTGGGACTTTTTTTCATATAATCATCCATCCCATCATGAAATCCTTACATAGGGTTATTTATGTTATATAATATTTACCCTCTGGTTATTTAACATAGCCATGGAAAATGGCCCATTTATAGATGGTTTACCTATTAAAAATGTTGATTTTCCATGGCTATGTTAAATAACCAGAGGGTATGTATATATATATATGAAGCCCTATTGTCATGATGAGCATCGCCCAATACTCTCTTTGTTGAAATTCATCTTTTGCCCATGGCAAATATGGATATGTGATGGGATCTTATAATATAGTTTTTGTGATTTGTTTCAATTAGCACCACTAGATTGGGACATATACTTGGAATATGAGAATGTCCTCCCTGCCCCTGAGATTGAATGCCCCCCGTGCGGCTGCACAAAATGAATAGTTCCAATAAAAAAAACAGCATCTTTAGGGCATGATTTGATAGGGGGAAGGGATGAATTGTAATGTGTCATGGGATTTACAACCATATGATATCTGCGTGTCTGAATATGGACTATAGTGACTATACATGACTATACATGACTATAGGTATCTTTAGCTGTGCTTCCAAGTGGCTTTTTTGAAATTTTGGGCCCGGCGACCGCTTCCCTGCGGTGTTTCGTCCTCCGGGCTCTGCAATTGATCCTTGGGTGCGGATCAAAGGAACAGGTTTCACCAGTTGGTTTCACCAGTTTTTCCTTTAAAAAAAATTAAAAAAAATTGAACCGCCACTGCATCAGGTGAGTTTTGGGTCAGAGCCACATTGCATCGCATCAAAAATTGCCGCATGTCTTTCCTTCCACGATGGAGATCTAATCAAAACTAATATCAAACCCGCACCTTCCAGAAACCCAAAACGAAGTCTGAAAAGAGCTTGCAGCAGTTGTTCAAAGAGATCTACGGATCTACACACCAGTATCAACTGTTGTGGTCAACCCAATGCATCATGCAGTAAGGTATACTATTTACAAAGACAACCTATATGCCCATGCATTCCACTTGGATTCCCCATTCTGAAGCGAGGTGGGAAAGTCTCTCTTTTCCAAAACTCAGCGTATTTTTTGTCTCGGCCTCGCACCCATTGAGCTTTCTGCAAGGACGCCAATAAGGTGCTGGTGATGCAACAGGATTCCTCCAGCGCATGTCTACCACCGCTCATCACCTTGGCTGAAAACCAGGGTGTCCGACGTAGTTTTCTCCAAGCCCAAAAAAAGGGATCATTGAGTCATTGATGATCATTGGAAATGTGGTTCATTTCAAAATGCTAGTGAAACCAGAAGGGAACTCACAAGAATGAAACACAATCCAAACATGTTCTGTCTCAGCCATTGTGGTATCCCTCCAGTTTCACACCCTTACTCATGGTCGCAGCGAAAATGCCAAGCACAAAAACCTGTGGCGCCGGACGCCACCCCCCACGGAGTAGGCTGAGGCAGCGTTCACGGCCACTGCCTTTTTGCCTGCTTTGGACACCTGCGGTGGGGCAACCATAGTCAATGACAAGGCGAAGATGAGAAAAAAACAAAACAACACCGACTAACTGGGCATTTCTTGAAATCCATTCTATCATATTCTATCCATGTCCCACATATATAATGTTCGTTAGTTTTCTATCATTCAGATTTGTTGCCATGAGCTAAAATTCATCATTAAACTTAGTTACACCATGGAGTTCAGGAGTTGTTTGTCTCCAAGTAACCCATTGTAGCCCATGCCAATGATTCCAAATTCAAATGATGGTTAATAATGGTTACTAATGGTTAATAATGCTTAATCATTGTTAGTAATATTTATAATGGCTAATAATGATTGATAATGATTGATAATGATGTATAATGATTGATAATCGTTAATGATAATGAATAATGATAAAGGTTTCATAATGGGTAATGAATTTGGACAAACCAATGCCATAAACCTACCCCATTTTTTGGGATGGTTTCAATCCCACCCATCAAAAATGGGGATGAGTTGTGGATGGTGGCATTGGATGTACCACATATATCAACATTGTTTTTTGGTGCGATATTTTGGGACCCACCCACCGAACATCCGCACCTTCACCGCATTCTCCAGCACCGTTCGGCCATCCTGTGGATTTCACACATGCAAGGCTAACCCAGACCAACCACAAATTCATGGGTCATTATGAGTATCCAACGTATTAAAACAGATTATATAAAACATTGTAAGAGCCCCAACAATCTACAGTAATGGAAATGGTTTGGACCTGGGACCCTACAAATGGGTTTCCCTTTCGGTCTCTTTGAGACTGCTACCCAAATCATCCGTCGTGCTGAAACAAATTCCTCACATAGAAGGCCAAAATCACATATTCACCCAGGTGAAATATAGACTTCGAAACTTCCTTTGACTAATATGTTTTCATCTATCATTTGTCGATACTACAATATCATATATCATAAGTTGCAATACATATATATATATATAATCTATCATATGCACCTTCTAGATTCTATATATATATGATATTACATATATACTATACGGTATACTCATACGAATAATATTCATATCTATTGTACCCAAGGCCACCTGGTCGTAGGAGACTTTGGGTGCAGCTCCACTGGCAACGGCCTGCCATGGTCAGTGCAACTGTCTGCGACCACAACGGTACCCTAGGATCCCGGCCAACGGGCAGCTTTTGGATCCAAGAAATGAATAATGATTTTAACATATTTTAACAACTGGATAGAAAAGTTGGAAGCCTGGAAATTTTGGGTTTGAACCATCACCTATTTGACATCCTGGAAATGCACAAAGACCAAGTGTGGGATGGTCATGTCCCTATGTCCACCAGCGATCTTTTATTGATTGTGTCTCGTTTTGCTGTGGTTTACCCTGGGGTAAACTCACATAGATATGGAAAATCCAGCCTTTATAGATAATTTATCCATAGACCATGAGGTTTTCCACATCCATTTTAGTTTAGGGTAAATCCACAAGTTTATCATTGAACCTTCTGTGCCTGTGTATGTCTGGACAAATTGGCATGTACCTTCAATCTCCAGCTTCAATCATCTCAAATCCTGAGTTGTCCTCTGGTTCAACCCTCTTTTTGCTCTGGTTCGGAAAACCCAATAATGATGACAGATCATATGGTTTTGGGTCAAAACCCTGGTACCCGGATGGTACCCTAAGATATAGCTAGTTAATGGATGGATATTCCCCAAAATATGGTCATGAGAGGTTTTGACCCATCCCCATATCAATCACTATCCATCCACTGATTTCCCACAGCGGTCCCGAAAAAGATCGCCATTGCCATGAAATATATCCCATGTTCAAACAAATCGAAATATCACAGTTGGTTATAAATCCAATGAACTATCCCAATTACATCATCCTTGTTGATGAATATATAAATATTGTATGTTGATGCTTAAATATTATATATATATATATCAATAATTATTGACAACAATACTACTCCGTAATTGATAATAAATATGATAATAACCTATTATTGATAATGATTTCTGACAACAATCCGCCGGCCTGCCGGCGTGTCTTGTGGATCTTGCTTGTTCGTAGTTGTACTGTTTGTTTAGTCTTTTGTCTTTGTCTAGACTTTCCCTTGGCGCGGATTTTTGCCCCGTCTAACTTGAACCCACCCCGCCCTCCCCCAATTTCAACCCAAACCCCGCTTACGCAACACAATCTTTTCTGTCTTCTCTTCGTATTTTTCCTCTGTGTCTTTCGTTGCAATGTGCTGGGTTCGTCTCTGCCCCCGCCTTGCACACCGTGCGCGTGTTCTTGTTTGCTCCACTGCGTCCTGCGCTTCACGTTCTTGGTTGGCTAGCTGGCTTGCTGTTGTCTAAGCTTTCTTCTGCCGCCGTTGCTTCGCCATGAATGTGCTACAAGGGCTTTCTAGGGCTGACGCCCCGTCTACACAACAGCCTTGGTTTAGCAGTTGCGTCCATGGCCCCAAATCTACACCCCTATCCTGACTGCTGCTACGCTTTACTGCATGCACTTGCGCTTTATCTCTCCTATGCCATGTCTCTGCGTTGAAGGTCTGAGAAGCCGAAATAGCTCTGGCCGTGGTGGCCGGCGGAACACGCCAACGGCGGTTAAATAATAATGATAACATAAGAATAACAAACCCATTGTAGGTAATCGTAACAAGCAATAGTAACAATCAATGTTATCAACTCGTGTTACTAGAATGATAAGAAGAAAATACGAAAAATACTGACAATAATCATAATCATGATAATAATAGGAAGAAAACAATTGTAGCGATAATAATGACAACAATGACAATAAGTTTCCCACTATGAGTATTATTATCATTATCTATTTATTGATTTAATCTATATATGTATCTAATTATTATCATTATTATTACTATACTATTATTTATTTATGTATGTATTACCCTCTGGTTATGACTAACATAGCCATGGTATAGATGGCCCATAGAAATAGATGGTTTACCGTTCTTAAAAATGGTGGATCTTTCCATGGCAAACTGTTAGTCATAACCCGATGGTTTCCTGGTCGCATCCTGTGGCACCTCCCGCCTCGGCCGCGGCCGGCGCCGCACCTTCGTTGCCCACCTCGGCCACTTTGGCGCCTGCGTCTCCGCAAAGCAGCGCTGGTTTTTGGGCTGGTCCTAATTGGATTTAATTGGAATACGAAGAAAATATGATACTTGATGATACTTGATGATACTTGATGATACTTGATGATACTTGATGATACTTGATGATACTTCATGATAGTTGATGAGATGCACTAATTGCAATTCATGATAATTAGTAAGAAGAAGAAGTTTCAAGACTTGCAAAATACCAAAAAATAAAAACGGTCAACCAACTTCCACTTTTTTTCCACTTTGCTGACCATCTGAGGGCTGTGCCCGCTGGCGATATTTCAACATCATCGACCAATCCCCGCCTTCAGTGTCCTCAGGCAAAGGCTTGGCACGCTGGATCTTGGTACCCTGCAACCTGGCGGCAGGCGGCAAAAAAGGGAACTGCCAGGAGAGAAAGATGTGATCACTGGGAAAATCATGGGGAAAATCAAAAAAAAACAGAAAATCCCTGAACTGTCCATGGAGGTTTATGGAAAATCATCGAACTAGCTGATGGATTTGCAATTGCCACCTTTGATCACAGCGGAGATTCTATTTTCCCATGGTATTCCCATAGTAGACGCTATCGTGAGAAGTTCACCAACAAAAATATGCATTGACAATCTAGAAAAGAACATCATGGAACTAAATGGTAGATGTTCAAAAAGTCATACCACCTTTGATTACCAGAGGGTGAAGCCAAAAAATGGCAAAAAATATCATCTGGTCTTATCTATAGTGAAGATTATCTACATAATGACAATAACATGATAGCATCATTACAATATCTCGTTGGTGGCTTCAATCCCTCTGAAAAATGATGGAGTTCGTCAGTTGGGAAGGATTATCCCAACTGACTTCGGAAAATAAAATTCATGTTCCAAACCACCAACCAGCTATATATCAGTATACCCTCTGGTAAACAGCCACATAACTATGGAAAATCACCATGCTTTCAATGGGTAAATCCACTATAAATCACCATTTTCAATGGGAAAATCCACTATAAATCACCATTTTCAATGGGTAAATCCACTATAAATCACCATTTTTAATGGGAAAATCCACTATAAATCACCATTTTCAATGGGAAAATCCACTATAAATCACCATTTTCAATGGGTAAATCCACTATAAATCACCATGTTCAATGGGAAAATCCACTATAAATCACCATTTTCAATGGGTAAATCCTCTATAAATCACCATTTTCAATGGGTAAATCCACTATAAATCACCATTTTTAATAGGAAAATCCACTATAAATCACAATTTTCAACTATAAATCACCATTTTCAATGGGTAAATCCTCTATAAATCACCATTTTCAATGGGTAAATCCACTAAATCACCATTTTCAATGGGTAAATCCACTATAAATCACCATTTTCAATGGGAAAATCCACTATAAATCACCATTTTCAATGGGTAAATCCACTATAAATCACCATTTTTAATGGGTAAATCCTCGATAAATCACCATTTTATCATGATATCCTCCACGATCAGCCCACTGAGTTTCAGGACATGGCTTGCAGCTGCAAGGTCTGCGCTTTGCCGCTACCCAGGGCGTAGCCCCCCGAGGCTAGGGCCTCCGATGGCCCGAAAAGTTGCTTTTTTCATGGGGGAAAATGAGCAAAACCCATGGGAATTGATGGTTTTTCCCTTTGGAATTGATGGTTTTTCCCTCATGTTTTAGACATGGAATTGTTGTTTTCCCGTTTTCCCCCTCAATTTTTAGACAAAGCCTCTTTTTTTTCAGCATATGGAAGGATATGTGCATATGTGCGCAAGAAAAAGGTGATTTAACTATGAAAAAAGGATTTGTTCACAGAACGACTGGGCAGTGACAAAAAACAACCATTGTTAGATTACTAAAAGAGTCATATTGCCTTGGTATGAAGTGATTATCATAACCAACTGAGCGAATCCCTATAAACCAGGTATAATTTGAGTATGCCAATACAATGTACCCCTTACACATCTCCAGTAGATAAAGCACTTGCAATGATATGGGCATTGTCTATATACATGTGTTGAAATCATGTGATATCATGTAATTATGTATGTAGTAGCTCAAAGAAATACCGCAACGTACAAAAACTTTGTCACAATTCTTGTGTGTTTCTACGTTTCTATCTTGCGCGGGTGCTATGTATGTGTATATGTATATATATAATCATATGTATATATATATACACATTTAATGACACTTTCATCGGGAGGGAAAGCCATCACTGCAGTTATTAGTGGTTTGTTGGAAGGTCTACATGTTGTTTGTTTTGGGATGTTGTAAATGGATAGAACCAGGACCCCCTTGTTGGATCAATGGCACCTGGGCGGTGTTCATGAAGGCGGCCAGGCGCTCCAAACGATCCTGGCTGCCATTCCTGGAAGATGGAGACCATGTACGAAATGCTGGGGTCATGTATAGCAACCATAGCAACCCCCTCAAAGTTAGATTCTATGCATAATTTGGATTAAATTTGGTAAAATGAAAGGATTAATGCTAGATTAGACTCCTAGACCTAGAATTTCATGCTTAGATTGTGTAGAAAGTTCATGGAAAGCTCCACCTCCCGGGACTTGTGTAGAAATCACTCTGAGTTGCGAACTGTTTTCTCACCTCAGAAAAGAGAGTGATTTGATCAGAAAATACGTGTTGCAAGCAGCACATTCATATGCACATCAATTCCACAAGAGCCATGTTCTTTCGCGGTGCACCAGAGATGTTCACCCAACCGAGTTTTTCATCCATGGCTTTTCCCCATACCACCATTCTTGTTGTCACCAAGACTTCGCTTTTCACCATTTTTCATGCTTAAATCACCATGTTTCATGCTTAAATCCAAAATTTCTGATGGTAAAGTCAGCATTTTTCCGTGTAAAATCACCATTTTTCATGGTTTTTAGGCACCAGTTGGTCCAACACTCCACTGGATCCACTGGGCTGTCGCAACCCAATCGAAATTTCCAGGTCCCCGAGATGCGATTTGACCTCCGGCCATCATCCAGTTACAGTAACTCACTTTTTTCGCGATTTAAACAACGAGAACTGGATATAATGGGGATGTATATGTATATATATATATATATATACAATTATATATATATATATACAATTATATATATATACAATTCTATAGATATATATATATATAATTATATATATACAATTATATATATAACACTTTGCTATATATGGAACATCACATGTCTGAATATATTGAATACTTAAATCATCGAAGCAACTGGGCCATCTATACCATAGCTATGTTAAATAACCAAAGGGTATCCAAGAGGACAAAAATGCTGTTCATGATGTATGTTTGGTTCGTGAAATTTGATCATATCTCAAATATCTCATCTGATTTATATGTGTTTAAAAAAAAAAAAATGTCAGAAAATCCATGAAATTAGATATCCACACATCTCACAACATGAAGTCCATCCTCATCTCAGGAGAATCCATTTTTGTGCCTCGAGCTTCCAGCTTCAGGGGTTCGGGCGCCTCAGGTCGATCCAACCATCTTATGATGAGATCATGGGACATACTTGGAATACTTCACGGAATATGTCATGGAATATTTCATGGGATTCATACCTGGGGTCTGAAAATGGGGTGTAGCCCTAGTTTATGGCAATTGTCTAGGGAAAAAACTACGGTTAGCCATTGGATTTAGGTACCCCAGTGTCAGACAAACCCATTTCCACGGCAATTCCGCCAATTTGATTATCCCCCAAAGACTTCACCAAGACAATCAGAAACTGTCAACAGATCCTCTCGGAAGTTTCAAAATCCCCTCAATGTCGGAACTTTGGGGGTTCCACTCAGATCAGCTGAGATGTTCAGATCGGTTCTAGGAAACGAGATTCCATCATTATCACTTCATATAAATATGTAGACAGATCAGCGGCTGCCAATGCTCTGATGGTTATTGTTTCCCTAGTAAAGAATATATCCAGCTCCATTAGAATTTTGATTAGATGCACACAGTTACAAAATAATTTCAATGCCAATAAATGGAGAATTATAAAATCTACAGTACAGTATACCAATACACTACATTGATATTGAAATTGGCTATAACATGCTACAGTATGATACAATGAGTTCAACCTCGTCTCAATCTTCGGTGGCCCATGCTGAGGTAACGGCCTTGACCTTGGCGTCTAAGACACCTTGGTAGACGCTGACCTCGCGTTTCTGGAAGATGCAGACCTCAGAAGCGCGGAAGATGCACAGAGTCAGCGATGTTCTTTTTGAAGAGCCGGGACGTGACATGAGGTGGTGGGGATGGAAGTTCCAGAAGTGCACATCCAAAACCTAAGGGTCTGGTTGTGGTTGCGATTTTGAAGCAATCTACCCTCTGGTGATTTCAACTACGGCTATGGTATAGATTCATAGATGGCCCATTGAGTTCGATGATCTTTTGATGAATTACTAATATTTATCAGGTGAAAATTACTAATACATGGAAATAATCAACAAATATTTATCTATCAATCACTTACTAATCTATGAATTACTGATATCTATTGACCATGGTGATTTTCCATAGCAAACCTTTAAATAACCAGAGGCTCAACGTGGCCACGGCTCAACATCTCTGAGTCAGAGCGTGGCTCCGAGGTTCCGCCCAGGTGCAGGTGATGATAGCAATCATGATGTGTATATAGTGATGGTATATAATAATGATAGTACATAATATATATATACCATTATTATCATGATAGTATTGTACTATTTATTATACAATGATAATAATGGTAGTATTCATCATTAGTAGTAGCAGTAGCAGTAGCAGTAGCAGTAGCAGTAGCAGTAGCAGCAGTAGTAGCAGTAGTGGCAGCAGTAGCAGCAGCAGCAGCAGTAGTAGTATTAGTGTTGTCAGTATTACTATTGTTACTGGTATTATTGATATCATTATTATTATTATTGGTAATAATTATATAACTATAATATATACCATCTTGTTATTTAACATAGCCATGGAAAAATCCCTTATAAATGGAGGTTTTAATGGAAACATCATCCATAAATGGGCCATCTTCCATGGCTATGTTAAATAACCAGAGGGTATATATATATATATATCATCATCATCATCATCATCATCATCATCACCGTTGTGCTTGGCCTCGAACTTCCAGCTGCACCGTCTTCAGCAACTCCTTGTATCGCCGCCATGATCAGCCGCCGCCGTCAAATCGTTTAGCAATGAATATCTCCCCAGATTGATGGTTTAGATGTGTAGTTAAATTAAAAACACACCTGTCAATCATTCATGGTATGAGGTTTCCAAATAAACCATCGTCAAATCAGCAATAATGGTTTAAGATTCTTAATGAAAAAACTCTGAATTGATGGTTGATGGTTAAAAACGATGTCATTTTGGACCAAAAACAAAACTGTGACTCGATGGTGAAATCATGTTGAATCCCCATCAGTTCGTTCTGCGACTTCGTTGCTCCTGAAGTTCCGGTGGCAGCATGGCCAGGGCCAACGAGATCGAGGCCCACGTGATCTCTGCCTGGGATACGGGGCCGAATCAGTGGGCAAACTCATTAGATATCCTACTGATGATGTAGTGTTAGGTAGAATTTAAAATAGTGGAATACAATATATATATATACATATGTATATATATATATATATAGCAAATATATATATAGCAAATATCGATACTTAATGTATATATTTCTACTACTATACATACTATATGTTACTACTGATTAAATCATGTATGTATATATATATATCTATATGCATTTAATGTGTGTGTGTATATAGTATGCATGTCACCAATCTGTGCGTGTATAAAGTTATATTGGTGTCCCACACTAATGGATTATAAAATGTTATTATAATATAATATAATAATCATATATATATATATACAATGATGATGTAGTAATATAGTAGTGTGAGATTTATCCTACATTTATACTGTGAGAATCATACCTGTGAAATAATGCTACTAAATACTGTAATTCTCACGGCAAAAAAATATCGATAATGCCAAATTGCTGATAACAAATATTGCTATATACTATTATCTATTCTTATTATTATATGTTATTGACAACAGTCACAACAAGAGCAACAACATGCAACAAGAATAGTACGAATAGCAGTGATAGTGATAACGATCACAATAATGTAGTAAGAATATCAATAAACTTCAAGAGTCAGGACACTTGCAATCAACAGTGATACTTGATATATAATCCCATCTCTCTGGGCCCGAATATGAATCAGCCTCACATCATCAAAAGCTTGGGATATGCCATGGCCAAAGTAGGCACTGATTCATCGTCATCCTGGAGTGGATAGAATATGGAAAATTCATAAGTGATTCAGAAGCAAACCACAAAAATGGGAATATGTTTGAAAATTCCACAGTCTACTTCAGGATCACTATAGACGAAAATCAGTAGAGAGCGAAGCCTCAACGGGTGCCAAGCCGAGGGAGTTCCAGTGATTCCTCTGAGAAACCGAGCCATGTGCGGTTGTAGCCGCGCATCTTCACAGAAGATACCTCTGCAGTGGATGACCCAATCGGAGAATTTGCCAAGTTAACGAAACTGAAACTACTCCCGAAGCAAACAAGGGCCTAAGGTGATCAGGCCCTCAGGACTCTGTCATTGGTACTATCCTCCCCCGATGGTGTCCTGAAGAGATCGGAGGCAAACGCAGCACTCGCGGGATCGGCACGGGTGCTTTTCCTGTCGTAACAGATCAAGGCATTGATTTAAGGAAAGACCTACAGGAACCAATGGGTGTTTACAGTACTACCAAATCATGGGGGGGTCCAGTATTTTTCTCAGCCAATTCTGAGAACGGTGACACGGTATCTATCTTTTCAGATTGGGGCCATTTCACTATTCAAAAAAAGGCTGTTCTGCCTGCCAGAACGCGATGTCTGGCATTGATTTCCAGTTGAAAGTAGCGACAAAGAGAACGGCCCTGTGTCCTGTGTCAATTGGCAGCTCCCCAAAAAACAAAACTGTTTGAACTCCTTGTGACTTACTAAGGCCTTGATATAGCCTTATATCCTTGTCCCTGGTCATCCCTTATCTATATCAGATGGCCAAGTAGCAGGGAACCACCAGGATTCTCCACTTTCAGCAAAACAAATCGGCCCAGCCGCTGGGCCCAGCCTTTTCCTTTGCCCCCTTTTCCACTTCCCTGCACAGGTTGGCATGAGCCAATGGCCAATGGTTGCAGGAAACACCAGGAAGTTTTGGAAGATCTTGGCTGGTGCATCAGGTCGGTCCCTTAGATGATCTGAGATGGTTTCAACGTGCCTCAACCCATCCCAAATGTGTCGTTGGGATTAGCCCAGCTGGGAATGAACAGTGAAGAAGTGTGAAACCACTCGCTATATAATTAATTTACAGTTTCAAATTTCCCACTCTTCAAGTCTTCAACTTGGTCATCTACCAACAGATAGATTGCCAGTGTATCCCCAAGTTTGCGACAGGCCCAAATTTCCTGCTTCCTAATCTTGAGATAGAAATACATCGGAAACATCTCACACTTGCATGCTATTGCTGTATCAGGGCAAGCTGCCAAAAAAAACATTGCTTAACAAGAGATACATTCCCAGACTATTGGATACTATATATTATCCATATAAATGTGTTGTATCTATATATATCATATTTATATTATCATGTAATTACATATATATATATTATACATATTATATACATGTATATATATATATATGGGTTTTAATGAGGGGCCAGTGGATCCACAAAAATGGTCATGTTCCCCCGAGCCTTAGAGCCGTGGGCTATGCCCTCTCCCAACTTGGCCTGGACCAGTTCCAACCCTCGAAGTTGGAGGTATCTAGCGCTGGGAAAATCATCTATTTCTATGGGCCATCTATACCATGGCTATGTAACAAATAACCAGAGGGTATATTATGTTATATGATTGGATACAAATATGTAGTTGGATATATTACATGATAAATATCATGAATCATGAGGAAATCATATATAATTACTATTTATTACTACAGAATTTGTGCTTTGCAACGAAGCCAGAGTTGGGATACCCACATTTTTGGCCTGACAAACATGGGAAGTATGATGACAAACATGGGCTAATCATGGATAATTTCTATGTTCAGACAAAGTTTCATAGAAAGCCATGTGACAACATATGTATCGCGACCCTCAAGGCCAACCCCCTAGAAGGCTTCCAGTGGGGGAATGGGCTTCATTGTTGGGGGGGCATCAACTTATTTGGGGGATGGATGAAAAGTTTAGTACCAAAAATTATCTTTATCAGTGCTCTCCTGTGCATCGAATTTTGACCTGTGGCCCTTTGGGTATCAAACTTTTTGTTGAAACATGTTGAAACAACATGAAAAATGGACGAGAAATTGTGTGCATAATCAAACGTCTCATCATTCTGGAGAACTAATGAGAACTATATGTTCTAACTTCTAGGCATCTATGCTGGAACAAAACATCTTGGCGGATTTTGGCAGGTCCCCCTTGTTAGATGTCCCTTCAAGAGTAAACACCACATGGGAATAAAGCCAGCAAAACCCAGGGCTGTGGAAGGAGGATGAAACACACTCGCCAGGGTATGGTACATTGGTTCATAATTGCCCAGGAAATCCCTAAAAGAAAATGATGTTCACGGGAAACCTTGCAGCATACGGAGAATTCTGGTCACGAATCAATCTCCATGTGGCAATCACGCTTAGTGCGAGGCATCTCCCAAGCTGATTGGGGGCCCCAAGCCCATTATCCTTCAGCTTAGATTCCCAAAGTTGTTGGTGATCCCTCTATGAACTGCTCTCAGAGTGACCTGATGGTTGAGCCGCCCAAGTTGGAAAAATATGCGTCAACTGGTCACCATCTTTTCAAGGTGAAACCAGTTAAATTCATCCAGCAATCTAACCTGGCAAGTGATGATCCTGTTCAACAAAAGGGTGCTCAAACAAAAACCAGTTTATGTTTGTTGGACCGAGGGTATCCACATCATCACCAACACAAAAGACCAACTTTCCCTACAGCCAGTGCCATCCCAGTCCCAGCAGATCTGCTGTGCACCTCCGAAAGGACTGCCTGCGGCGCCAAGGACACGGCCACAGTCATCGCAGTGACAGCTGAAACACTCAGCTCCCGCGGATCCCTTTTCTTGGCTCAAACTGGCTCAAACTTGACCATTGTACAGTGAAGGTAAAACAAGTAAAACGATCACTTTGAAGACTGCTCCGTAGTCACATTCGAGTCTTCAGGTCTCCAAATTCTCCAAAAGCTGATGGATAGGTCTGAAAATACCCCCTATTGAAATCCCATGGGTGATCATCCCCATGAAATGGCGCCATTGCACAACAATGGCACCCCGGCACCCCCATTTCCAGACACTCTCCATTTGAAATGATCCTTAAAAATTCCACAACGGTTGGTGGTTGACCTACCCCTCTGAAAAATGAATAAAAATGATGGAGTGAAAGTCACTTGGGATGATGACATTCCATATATGAAATGGAAAGTCATAATCCATTCATGTTCCAGTCACCACCAACCAGTACATCATTTTCCATCATTTTCCCATTTCCATCACCACCAAAGTTCCATAAAGTTCCACCGTCCGCCTGGCAGTACTCGGAGAGCACGTTGAGATAGGTCCGCGAAAGGCCCTGCACACCCTTCAGCAGGTCTCTCAGCTTGGGTCCAACCGCATGGATCACCACTTGTCCCGAGTTGTAGGCGTGGAGCTTTGCACCTGAAAAATCAGGGAGCTCTTGATGTAATTTGGTCTGAAAAATGGGAAAATTTAATGGGAAAATATGGGATGAACATCTTGAAAAAGTGTTGGAAGATAATGGAAGATATATGACATAGGTCTATAAGTATCTATAAGTGACATAACGTCTACAGGTGGGGAAATTGACATGGCGAGTGAGTCAATTTCTGGTTGCCAAATCAGGTCATGGCCATGACCGGTGTGAGACATCGAGCCGCTCGGTGTCCGGACGCCCTTCGGCTTCCACTTCTCTACTCCTGGCAACGTCCGCTCGGTGGAAACATATAGCGGGGGAACCCGCAACTCGAGTTGACACACCAAAGCCGAAAGCCGACTTCCAAATTCTATGCTAAGAAATTTTAATATATTCTAAGTATTCGAAACAACACCGTGTTTCTCCGTTACCCCTCAGATCAACAACTCGCCAGCGGCACGCCACGAAATGACGGTTCACCTGCCGGGCAAACACGCAGTGAAACTGCAACGATTGAAGCTGACAAACCGGCCACGTCGTCAGAAAGCAATTGTGTAATTTTCCATGTTGCGACCATTCTGTAATTTTCATGAAATACGGTATACATGAACCAATTCTGCCCCATGATTTCGTCCTGTGCTAATCCTTTCAGCTCACCCCCGCATTCCCCATACCTCTTGCGGGAAGCGACCACTCGCAGGCGGCGCCGCAAGGTTCAACCTGGGTCACGGAGGGACTTTGGGTGCGCAAGCGGGACAGAATTGGAGTATAGTAACCCCCAAAAAAGATAAAATTATCATGAATTATTATGAATTATCACTATGTCTTAGTATCTTAGTAAGGCTTTTTTAAATTTCTATCTTTCTGGTTTCTATCTTTATCAAAAAACATGGGGGGTTTAGCTACCTTGACAGCGGCCAAGGCTTCTCGCCAAAAGATTCTTTTTTGTGCCAATAATGCTGGACGTTTTTGGGGGGATCCACCGGGTGGGATGATCTAATGTGGCAAACCCAATAAACCTCTAATTGGCTATAGGCTTCTATAGTCTATACATGATCTATACATGTCTATACCACCCATTTCAAGTAGCTGCAAGTAACTCCTCTGGCTGCAAACCTTTTTCCACTTGCCAAAGCAACTACCGTCAAAGGTGCTGATCCAGCGCAGCCTCATGGCCCTTGGATCAGCCACAGAGCCGATAGCATCAGCCAGTGGTTTTGGCCAGTGGAGCGATCCTGGGAATCTACCGAGGTTTGTGGTTTCAAGTGGCTTCCAAAATTTCAGGCCGTTGAAAACTGACCATTACTGACCCATCCAGCGACCGGGCTCAACCAGGTCCGCAAAAATGTTGACCCATGAAGGGGGGCTTCACTGCGCCCGTGCTTGGACCGCAACTGCCCATGCCCTGTGCCGCCTTCGCAGACCACGGCCTTCCGCGCAGCGGCGGACCGCGCGCTCGCAGGCGCCGATGGCGGCGTTGAAAGTCATGGCATCCGGGGTCAGCTGGGCGGACGGCAGGGAGTTCAGCAGATGAAGGGCCAACTGCCATTGAGACCTGAAGGCTATCGGATGATGCGGGAATGAATCAACCTTGATGTCCACAATGTGTCAAGAACACAAAGGGCATATCAACCAACCAATGGTTACAACCAGTTGGGCTTCCCATTAGTGGATGATATTTTTTGGTCACAGTATGCTAAACACCTACGAATTGGGATGATCCTCCCAGATATCAGATTGCATGGTGCTTGAGCAACCTCACGGTTAAAATAGGACAGTCATCCAAGGAAAATCATCGACCAAAGCAGAAACAGAAAATCATCGACTGGAAAACCAGCAAATCCAGATTTTGAATATTGTCCAGACATAGAAAGACTGACAACCAACTTTACAAACTTCGCCAAGCAGGGGTTGAAACATCAGCAAAAAGCCGCTGCGAACTTTGGCAAAGACACCCCTTCTCACACGTGCTCACAGCTGCACTGTAAGTGATCACACTCTGCTCAATCCTCACTGCAGACATCTCTCCCAGCAAATCCAAAGCCAACATCCATTCCGAGGCCTTTTCACAAGAGCTAATGACGCCATTGTAGCCTTGTTGGTAAACTGCTTTCCACCCAGAGAAAATGAATGTAAGCATTATCAATTGGGATCACAATCCCAAACCTAGGCTAAGCATGGAAAAAAAATAAAAACAATAGCACCAACCATATCAGATCTTCTTGATACATGTTGTAAGACCTTTTGGAGTACGAAACATCATAGCGGACAGGCAACAGATATGCCTTTCCCCAGCCAGATACGACTATATAAGCGAGAGTGACCCACCAAAAGAGGTAGGAAAAGAAAAACAGGCTACTAAAGACGATGTTTCCCCAATGTCCCAGTCTCCAACTGTTCAACAACTATGAGGGTTGCTCTTTGAAAAAAAAAATGGTGAAAAATGCCAACAGGGTCAGTAGCTGATCACATCAGCCATCGCCTGCCACATCTGCAGAAATCCTAAGGCCATCAGCCACTGCGAGGCCTTTTCGCAGCAGCTCACAGCAGCGTTGCAGCAGATCACGTTGGGAGAAAGCTGGGCAGCAGACAAGTCCTGGAAAAAAAATTATTCCCACAGAGACTGAGAGATTTGGGATGCTAAAGTTTATGGCAAAAATTGCCAGTAAAGTTGGAGCACCCCACAACTAAACATGGAAGCCACAATGGTTTGTTGGAGAATTTACCTCTGCAATTGTTGAGTTCCATCTTAAACCTAGCGGAGGTCTGCGGGGTAAACCCTGTAAAGAAACATGGCAGTGGAAAGTCCGAGTTCTCCAGTCATCGCAGGTGCCTAACATGTGGTGAACCATGGGTTTGTCTCAGAATTGGGACCCGGAAAAAACCGGTGGTCTGATAAAATGTCTATAATTATCATGTTCCCATTTTGGTAAGGGCCAGAAGTTGAGGGACATGTTAGAGACCCCGTGCATGTCAACCGCAAGCTTTGCTTCAACCATTGACAGTTCTGTTTCTCCTGCAACAAGCACAGCAGCTGCTGCCACTCTCCACACTTCTCACAGCTGCTCAGAGCTGCTCCATAGCTGATCACGTTGGGAAGCACCTTCCGGTGCTTCAGGGGTTCACCATTAAAAAATGACGATTTAACCAACAAAATGATGAGACTGAATGGGGATATGATTGGGATTTGATGGGGATATAATTGGTATATATATATATAATTGGTAACCAAACATGGCCGGCTGGGAAGTCCCTCAAAAACATCGGCTTAAGCTTTACTGGGAAATCATATCGAACTAAATGGTGTGTTGTAACCAGCAAGCCATGTTTGATTACCGGAGGGTTTTCGCTCATCATGCCAGGGTAGTTGGAGTATACACCCGTGCCCCATCTGAAGAACGCCGGATTAATGAACCCCACTTGATTTGGAGGCTACCCCCAAAATAGCAACTTCATGTACCATTAAAATACATTAAAATGATACCCCCCAATGATCAACAGCCCAGAGGTTGTGTTGACATTTCCAAAAACTCTAACTGCCAAACCCCATGTCTCACCATTTCCCCCTCTTGGGCCTGTAACTTTGACATCTTTTGCAACACTTCTAGAGCCATCTGCCACTGAAAGCCCCTCTCACAAGAGGTGATTGCAGCATTGTAGCTGATGACATTCGGGGCTATACCTGGCTATTGGCTGCCCTGATTTCCGAAAGATGGACAGATGGACCGGGCCAAAAAGAACGTGTCACTGTTCATGGGTAGAACCCACAATGAAACCTGCCAATGTGCTGGTTCTCTCATATCCCAAGCACATTCCCCTCGATAGTTGCCCAAATATCCCAATTACACGACTTGAAATCAACCGTAAACCGCTTCAGCCATCCCCAGCGATTTCTCGGTCACCCAGATGCGCACGTCCGCCATCTCTTTCGCCACAAGCTCCAACGCCAGTTGCCACTGCTTCCCCTGGCCATAGCAGCTGATCAGCGCGCTGTAGCTGACCACATCCGCAGTCAGATCTGAGGTCCAATGGTCCAACAGGGAGGCGGCCAACGGCCATTCAGAACCTGCAGCTTGCTCTCGGGCACAGCTACAGCTAAACAGAAACGACACGAAACGACTGTGTAGCTTCCCCCAATTTCTGTTAATTTTTTCTGGAAAAAGAAACGCTCAAAAATGGCCATCTGGCCAGCCATGTGTTTCTTCAAAGCCCAAGGAATCCAAGGAACCCTTCTCCAAGGAGCTGAGACAAGCATTGCAGCTGATGACATTGGGCTGAAGAGAGGCTGATTGGCTTCGACCCAGAACTTCAGTGGCCCAACTCCACTGCGAACCTCGATCTCCGAGGTCGAGAAGTCGAGAGGTCTTTTGGTATGGGGGTGTCAGAGTTCCGTATCCATTCATATCCTGAAGTTATATAATGTCATATATATTTATATATATTAATATATATATATGTATGTGTATATCTCTCTTGAGGGAATGGAAATTGGAAAGATCTATGAAAACGTGTGAAAAGAGAAGCCAAAAATTTAAAGCACCGATCAGATTGCCCAAAGATGAACATTCCAAATTTCTAGGGCACTATGTCAATCATCATCCCCCATGTGGTCCCACAACCACTCAAGGACTCAGGAACACTTCTCAAAACAGCTGAGGAGTCCGTTGGAGCTGATGATGTTGGCCTGAAGATTCACCAAGCGTATTTCGTCCCAGAGATGAAAGGCACGTTCCCACTGAGAACGGCTCTTTTCACAGGATGTGATCAGGCTATTGTAGCTGATGATGTCAGGATCAATCTGCCACCTCGACAACTCTTCAAAGAAACCTGGGTGTGTGTTTTTCGAAATGTTTTTTTGACCCGAAAAAATGTTGAAGCTTTTGGACTCATGATCCGTGGATTTGTTTTTTGGCACTACTCTGCCGGTAGAAAATCCAATTTATGTTCATGCAATTAGATTATTTCCGTCGAATTTCCCCTGAATTGTCCATTGCCATGGTTGAAAAAAGATGCTACGCTGCTAAACCATGCTGACAACTACCCCAAAACTGCCAAAAAACTCAGGGATCGTTGCCAGCCCTTCTCCCAGCCAATCACCGAGTTGTAGCTGATGACGTTCAGCCGGAGAGTGGTCCACCGGACCTCTTGCAGGGCTCTCAGAGCCATCGGCCACCGCGACGCTTTCTCGCAGGCACTGATGGCCGCATTGGCGACGACGGAACTGGAACTCAACTCCGTCGCCTGTCACAAGATATGGGGGGTCCTAAGTCATTGGGGTACCCCCAAATCATTTGGGTGTGTCTGAAAATAGTGTACCCCTAAACCCAATGGTTAATGATCATTATCCCTATTAAATGGCTATAATTGGGAATATACCCTATTTTCAGACAAACCCATTTAAAAAAGTTAACCCCTTTTGGTATTGACACCCATATGGTGACTTGGGGATCCCCCCATGACTTCAGAAACCAACCCCTAACATTCTCCCATGACTGGATCAGTGGTTTTGGGGGTCGATTGCAAAATCGATGGCTTGATCTCTTTATGTCTCTTTGGCTTCCTCCAAGTCTCCAAGTTTGTACTGATCTCCTTCGATTCCACTTTAAAATTGCACCTCCAACATCTGGAGCGCCAAATGCATCGCCACTTGCCACTGCATGGCCCTGCCACAACTGATGGCGCTGGAAGCGGCTCCTTCGGAAACGCTGTAGAAAACTGAGGAGTTGTTCAGCCCAGTTGGGTGATGGCTGAGCCAAATTCTGGGAACTCATCAGCTGTATTCAAGTGTCAAGTAGGATCAGCAGGATGGTAAAGAAAAATAAACAAAATGATTCCTGTGTGTTTTAAGAACATCTTTTAAACCACCAACTGATGCGAAAATTAAAGGGAGCGCTTCAAAGGGCGCTTCAAACTTTCACCACAAGATTCGCCAAATCCTATGCCTGTATTCGGAGCAGAAAACTACAACTTCATACAAGTTCACTATAATTACTAAAGTAACTCAACTATATAATCAAAGCATCAAGGTCACCCGAATCTGAACATTTCAGACACTGTAATATGTGTGGATATAGAAGTATGATATAAGTATGATCAGTATCAAAAAGTAGAGTACCCTAAGGCCCGAAAGATCCTCCATCTTCCAATCTCTGCTTGAAGCTGCCCAGTGCTTCCTGCCATCCGTTGCTGACTTTTGCCATCAACGCGGCGCGTGACGAGGGCCGAGGCTGCGGCAACACATGCAATCCCCCAATGGCTAGAAATATCCTAGTCCAGGACGGTCAAACTATGTGAAACCTATGTGAAACTATTGGCCCTGAATCTTCACTACGGCCCACTAAATTAGGTGTACATCCTTAAATCTGATCCACGGAACCAGAATTTCTGTGGGCCTTTCCACATGGAAAACTTAATCTTCCAAACCAAGTTCTCGGGTTGTTTGTTTTCACGCAAACAATACCATTTGATACGTTGGTTGCATTCATTGTCAACACTACCAACACATACTACCCTCTGGTAAACTAACATAACTATGGAAAATCAGCATTTTTAATGGGGAAATCCACTATAAATCACCATTTTCAATAGCTTTTTGTATGTTTACCAGAGGGTAACCTTAAAGCACACTAATCAAACCAACCCATTTCCAGCCATGCCATCCACGGGATTACATGGCGCCCGGGCCATTTGTAGACGGACCCCGACCTCAGAAAAAAGGGAAGGGAAAGAACGGGTGCATCAAGGACTTCAATGGGGTGAATATGGCCTAGAGATCTTCCCTCTACTTTGTGGGTGTTTTTTTTTTCTGGTCCTTCCCGGTAGTAGGATCCCTTTTCTTCACTTTCTTGATTTTCTTTTGTAGACCATGCTGCACACTCGCAGTTGGCAAGCGCTCGCTACCACGAGAAACTAGTGCATACAGGAGCATAAACCACGCAACTGGACCATGGCACATATACTATGTCATATAAACACAATGTAAATCATATGTCAAATATGTGGACATTCTGTGTATGGCTAATATTTGATATTGTTTTTTCCTCTATAAATCCATAATATGAATCCCAAGAAGTATCTCAATGATCTCCCCATGATCTCCCCGTGTTTTCCATCTCTGGCGCCGTTTCAAATTGGCCCAGCTGCGCTCCGCTGGCGCCACGGATGTTGTTGCGGTAGCCGATGAAGATGAAGCCCGCAGGGTCCACCACAACAGCCTGGAAACCGAAGAAACAATGGCTATCTTTTCTGCAATTGATCCTTCAAAAGACAAATAATAATAATAATAATTAATAATAGTAATAAATGATAATATATAGTGATAATTAATAACAACGTGAAAATCCCAAAGCCATTGCAAAACCCCCATGCTCCCCGAGTTGGAATGGCAATTTGTTGACGGGACCTCGACGGGCGCCATAGGCGCGAGATCTTTCTCCCCCTCGGCAGTGCCCAGGACGCCGTGCGGTTTCACCTGCGCGAAACCGAAGCTGAGGAACTGATGTTTCATTAAAATGGTAAAATCCATTTAAAATCCATTTTTACCAACCAAATATGATGATTCAATGGATTTATCTGTGGAAATTAATGATTAAATCCATAAACATCATTTTAATGGAATTATTAAATTTCATGGATTATTGAAATATTGAAATTATCTATGGAATTTAATGGATTTTACCAACCAAATTATGATGATTCAATGGATTATTACATACTACCCATTTGGGCAAGGGATATTCTACACATTTCGGGGATGGATTTTAGGATTCTTTTGGGGATGTCTTGGGCTATTCCCCGAATAAAACAATGCCAGTCACCAGTATCATCACAACGATTTTTTCGGCATTGGCCCCAAAAAGCTTCACTATCCACTGGAATTGGATGGGGAGATAAGCTTTATACAAAAATATTTATATAATTATGTATGTATATACACATATATATATACATATACATGTACACATATCATCTATGTCTACGTCTTGGAAGCCAACTTTTATCGTGAATTTGAGTGGTTGAGCCCCCTTGGACCTGGCCCCCTGTTGGCTCGAAAGGAGTTGAAGCCGTTGAAGCCCCAAAAGAGGATCCCACCAACACAAAAATGAACATACCAATACTAAACATAACTATTCTTCTTACTATGTTCATTATTGTTACTATAGATATACATAATAACAACATATAACAACCATAAGATTCCTTTAAAATGGGAATGTATAGACCCGATATGTTACGTAGAAGCCTTGAATTGAACTGGCCAACAAATCAGGATATGTCACTAGAAAATGGAGCATAGAACTGCCACCACATGGGAATGTGTTTTGGAACTGATGGAAAATGCTTGCCAACAAATAGACATATTCTTTTCCAACAATGATGATGATGATGATCATCATCATCATCAAACAGATGCTGCATAGGGAATATTTTTGGTGGCGGAGTCATTCTGACATCACCAGCATCATCATGATCCCGTTTTTGGAACGGAAGATGAAAAAAATACGTCGAAACACCAACTGGAAGTGGATCAAAGCCCTGTTCCAGGGGTCAATGTTGAGACTTATAGCTCCCACTGGTCAAGCCAAATCCACACGGTGTCCTGTCTTACGGGACCGGATTGGTGTGTTATCTACAAACCAGGTCCATCACTTCGGACATTAGAGTCATAACAAACCCATACCCACAACCACTTTCATGATGAGCATCGCCAGATTGGTTCCTCATGATTAGTCCTCTTCGCGCCTTGAAACTCTTCAGAAGCGGATGGGAAAAGCTGTTGATCACTTTGACCTGCGGAGTGGCTGCAAAAAAATGTGGTGAATAACCTATAGACACATTTATATGTCAGTATAGCCTATAGTCAATTAAGAAAGACAATTACTGATGTGGAGAATAAGCCTATAGTCAGTTGCCCTAATGATATTTCAGTCATTTCAGTGGGTTTTGCAATGTATAAATGGGTACTAACTATGGTTACTAGTATAGATGTGGAAAACCCCTGGGGTTTTAGCCATTGGGAATTCAGGATCTACAAACTTCACATCCAATTGTTAGGGTTTTCGATGGTAAAAAGTGTGTCAACATGTGGCCGTCTTTTGAGACCATGGATAAACTGTTCCCTGCTAGTTTGATGGTGATTTACTTCTCTGGCTTTTTGTTGACTGAACAAAAAAATGCATGACGCATACCCATATGAAGCCGGAAATCGTCAATGTTCGTCTGTATCTTTCCCATCTCTGTGTGCATAATCTGATCATAGAGCTTGTGATATAACCAACAAGATTGTTTATGTATTTATATATATACCTATACATATACATACATTTTACATGTTTGTGTGTGTAAATGTACACATTGATTTGGATTCCATCTCCGTGTCTGGCGGCTTTCGACCTGGTTTCACTTTTTTTTCCGGAAGATTGGTGGTGATAATCCCATTGTTTGGCTGATGTTTCCAGATGCGTTTTGAACATGTGTATATATATATGCACTAATATATGTATACACATTCAGACTTCAGTACATGCGGTGATAGGTCCTACCAGTCATGAATGAATGTGCTTACAAAGAAAACCTACGGTTGTACTATCCCATTCACATATGGTGGAGGGCCCTCATTACAATAGAAGCCCACGTGTAATCAGTTTATTAATTCCTATAGTTTTGGTTATAGTCCGATGCAAAACAATGTGAATATGTGTAGAGTGTAGACATAGATAGATATAGATTACCTTTGCACAGTAAATGGCTGCGGCTCAAAAATTGGTAGCATTCAACCATTCTCTCTTTGGGGGGTCAGCGCTTTTGAGCTATACTAGGCTATACCTAGATAAACATATATAAGTTCTTCGTACTATGAATAAGAATTTGTTCGTTTCAATTCTCCATCCCCAATTTTTTGTTTGGTTATCAATCATACCATTGTTCATGGTCAAGTCACCATGTTTCATTCTTAAGTCACCATGATCCCCAAGTTTTTGATGGTTAAGTGAGTCGCCATGTTTCATGGTGGAACCACCACCATGGTTCTTTGTTGCTTAAAACATGTTGCTGTAAAAACCATCCCTTCGCTTCCCGCCTGCTCTTCCAGGTAGTTCCCTTCCCACCAGCCCTGCGTCTTCATCTCCACGGAGACTCTCAGCTCAGGCTCCTGAACAATGGCCACCGAAAACCTGGAATGGTTGGTCCAATAGCAAAGAAAGATGCAGAAAAGTCAGAGTTCTCACTATTAACTGAAATGGATTGAAATGGGACGTGTCTGCATGTTTTTTTGATGGCAATTCAAACCAAGTAACAGAATTTTGGTGGCGTTGAACCATCCGATTTTTGGGGTTGAAGCATCAAGATGTCAAAACCCTCACACCTCCAAGCCCTTGAGGTCCGCCTCAACACGGCTTCCAAGTGGGGAGAGATACCTTCCATCTATTCTGCTGTATGAAATATCGACATCGATATTAATCCATGGAGATATTCATACATCTATGTAACAATATACATATTTTTTAATATATATATATACATCAGATAGACTACGGAACAAACATATAGTAACCCTAAAAAATAGTAAAATAAATCTGAACTAGTAACTAGTGATAAATACAACTCGCCTGCATCTTTTTGGGGGTCGCTGTTGTTCCTCGTGCACGTGCATGTCAGCAGTCCTCCAAAGCCTCTGTCTTCCATTTGTGCTTGGAAAATTGGATTTCCCAGTTCATGCATTGTTGGAATCCCCAATATGTATATATATATAATGTATGTATGTATGTATGTATGTATGTCTGTCTGTCTGTCTGTCTGTCTGTCTGTCTGTCTGTCTGTCTGTCTGTCTGTCTGTCTGTCTGTATGTATGTATGTATGTATGTATGTATGTATGTGTGTATATGTGTGTATGTGTGTGTGTGTGTATGTATGTGTGTATGTGTGTATGTATGTCTGTATGTATGTCTGTATGTATGTCTGTATGTATGTATGTATGTATGTATGTATGTATGTATGTATGTATGTATGTATGTATGTATGTATGTATGTATGTATGTATGTATGTATGTATGTATGTATGTAATGTATGTATATATATATATATGTATGTATGTATGTATGTATATATATATATACACATATGGGATGTATACCCCATATTATATTTATTCATCAACAGGGGTTTTGAACACTGCTCATGTAAATGTAAATATGTTGATAATTCATATCATTGTTGTTAACCCCATAAATTATCACATATATATATACATATACATATACATAAAGTGGTGTTGTGGTTTGGGGGCTGTGATATGTTCACCCCGCCTGGTCGCGGATGGCCTTGAGCTCCGCCACGACGCTGCTGTGGGCGTTGCGCAAGGTCTCCAGGCCTGGAGACGCAGGAAGACCAGGGATGTAGAACTGCTTGTTGAAGCTGATCTTTGTACAGTATCTGTATGTATATGTCATATACATATGTAATACAGTGAAATGTCTCTTTGAGTGTGGCTCTTCACAAAGCTTGAATGTGGCTGTGAAGAGCGAGGGATTGGCTGATGTCTGTGGGGTGAAGTGCGAGCAAACAATGCGTGTTTTTTGGGGGGCTTACATTTTACAGTACCTTGGTAAAAGTGTGACCACATTTTGAAAGTTTGGCTAAAATTGATGTTTGGATATGCTATGCGTGGCACTTCTGCGCCATTTTTTTTTTCGCGATGTCGGTTTTAACCGCTGTTGGTTGATGTTTCTGTTGGGGCTTCTGTCGTAACCAATATGTTGGGGATTATCACAAGCCATGAACGGGGAATCCCTATCAACCAACCAGTATCAACCGCCTAGGGCTGGTACAAGGTATCTCCCAGGATGGCATCATTGGTATTTAAAAAAAAAAAAAACTTATCAAACCATGGGTCAAGGTGGCGAAATGACCGATGTCAAAATCCTGAATCCCTTGGAACTCTGATATCGGCTGAACACGCTTGAGCGCTTGAAATCCAAAATGGACCCCAAGAAGACATCTGTTTATCAATGGGGTGGAGAATCAGAATTCATCTTCCAGATCTTTTTCGAAAAAGGGTCGTCCTGGTGACACGTTCTGCTCTTCAGCTGCAGTCCAAAGGGCTCTTCAGCTGCAGTTTCAGTTCTTTGTTGCTGGTGACCTCAAGTCCAAACTTCTTGGAATGGATCAGGTGAAAAAAATCTGGAAAATCTCAGCTGATGTTTTCTGAGAATCTGCGAAAATCTTTTTTGAAAATCTGCTGATATGTTTTTTGCCCACAATGTGGCGTGACTCATAGATATGTGGGTATGGGTTAAAATTGGATACCCTTGGGCCTTCAAAGTTGACCCATTCATAGGTTGGTTTACAAACCCCATCAAGGATATTTATATCCCCCATAAACATCCATAAACCAGAGTCAACACAGTAAATGCCAACTTAGCTATCTAAGTCAAGCAAGTGATGTGCGTCAACCAAGCTATACTTACCATTCATAGATATATCTACCATAAACCATAGTTACTTTGAGGATCATCCCAGTAAATGGTTGATGACCCTGGTGGTAAGTTCCCGATGCGTCGCTTATCCCATGAATGGATTCGCGCCCACCAAGCAATAACCATAAACCATATGGTCAATAACAACAAACCATGGTTAATAAGTTAATAACCTTAATAACTAATAACCATAGAAAAATAGTGAATAACCATAGTTCATAACCATAGATAACTATAGTTCCTGTAATAACCATAGATATCCACCAATTAACCAAACATACTTACATATCTACCCCAATTTGATAGTCATCAACCATAGTTTATATATTATATAGTAGTTTGTAGTCAATAAGGATTCACCATAGTTATAACTGCAGTTCATAACAATAAACCATAGTTCCAACCACAGTTGATAACAATAAACCATAGTTCCAACCACAGTTGATAGCAATACAACCCACAGTTGATAGTTTTCATAAGTTTGGTTACCCAGTCAGTTGATAACCATAACATACCATAACTATAGTTCCTCTAATAACCATTGTTATACCCTCTGGTTATTTAACATAGCCATGGAAAATCACCATTTTTAATAGGTAAACCATCTATTTCTATGGGTCATTTTCCATGGCTATGTTAAATAACCAGAGGGTATATCTAGCCATCCACAGGTAACCAAAAAAGGCCGCCCTCTGAGCCCCGAACAGCTCCCTCCGGGCAGAGGCCAACATCCTCCTCGGGAGCCAAGTTGGCGCTGCTGCCACCAATGACCTAAAAATGCATCGAGGCGCCGAAACCCGGATGATGTCATGACGGCCGGCGTCATGACTATTAAATGTAAATAAGTATAATGACTATCATGACTATCATGAATCTATATAAGTCATTTATTGTCATTTATAGTCATTTATTGAGATTTATGGATATGATATTTTTGTATAATGACTATAAATGAACTATAAATGACCTATAAATGTCATTAAATATCTATAAATGATGATCATGACCTTACGTATATATAATATTCTAATGACTTACCGTATGCATGTTGAGAGGTTGAAGACAAAAAAAATAAAACACTGAAAAATGATGTGTTTTTTGCAGTTAATGATGGTAATTACTCATGGTAAATAATACAAACTGAAAATGGTGAATGATTTAATACACAATTGAATTGAGATGAGATTAAACAATTGAAAATGCCCCAAATTCTTCCCATAGGCTCACGTACGCGCATCATGACCTGTTCGCAACTGGCAGATAGTTATGATAGCAACTGGCCGTATGTTCGCCCATGATGTCTGCATTCTAAAGGGCCGACACGCCCCATTGTCCCAAACCATTTGGTGCATCCAAAAACTGTTGGTTTCCCAAAGTATTTCTGGTTGGTGGTTTCAACCCCTCTGAAAAATATTAGTAAGTTGGGATGATTATTCCCAATATATGGAAAAATAAAAAATGTTCCAAACCACCAATCAGATTTCATTGGTGGATTTGAGGGATATCACTGGATAGCACCTTTAGAGTGGCCCACGGAGGACTTAGGAAGCGACCAGCACTGCTCGGCCCGAATCTTCCTCGCGTCACAGCGAGGCTCGCTGTGAAGCCTAGATTTCATCGTATTCAATGTGATCAATAAGGGTGACTAATAGTCAATCATGATTGATAATGTTTCATCATGGTCAAGAATGGTGATGAATGGCGATTCATGATCATGATTAATCATCAATTAATGGAATTCATGGAATCATCAATCCATTAATCATTCCCTTGGTCAATGGAATTACCCTCTGGGAATCAAACATGGCAAAGGGACATCCCCCTTTGCAATGGCAGCGGCAAAATATATATGTAACGGCTCGCGTCCATGGATTCCATGTATTTCCAACCCCCAAGAAACATCAAGACACGATAGAACACTGGCCAAATCCCCAAATCATGGCCAATGACTTTCTCCTTTGAGCGGCCACCACGAAAATGTGGAATGACGTATTCTTCGTGTTGAATAAAGACCTACCAACCTATCGAAAAGGGGGCATCATGAGGGAAGCATCCACTAAATAGCAGTGATGATGAGAGTTTAATTAAAAAAAATGGTCCTGATGATAATAGTTATTGTTATTGACCGATTAGATTATCAATAAATAACCAACATAGTGATAATAGTGATAATTGTCATTGATTATGTGCATCATGAATATTATTGATTATTGTTGCCGTGTGTAAACAGTGAATTATGTATAATTAATATTGTTGGTATGATTATTACTATTCTTACTATGATTATTCCTATTCATATGTATTATCATTGTTTGATTATGTTCTCGTTTTATTCATTTCTCTATCCAAATATCTAATTAATCTATTTATCCATGTTTGCTATTATGATTACTATTAGTATTAAGAGGTACTGTTATTGTGAACCACCCGCATCCATGGTACCCGCCCCAAGGGAATCTAAAAGAACATGCTCCTGGTGGGCTTTCACCAACTCCACAGCCAAGGCGTCCAACTCTTCCGGCGTCTTGGGCGGATCCAGCGCTGGTGCCCCAGCAACGCCAGCTGTAGCTCCTGCGGCCGGCAGTGCAGCCGCAGTGCCCGCGGCGGCGGCAGTGCCCGGGGCGGGCACGGTGCCTGGGGCGGCGGCGGTGCCTGGGGCGGCGGCGGTGCCTGGGGCGGCGGCGGTGCCCGGGGCTGCAGCAGCAGGGGCACCCGCTGCAGCAGGGGCAGCCGCTGCAGCTCCTGTGTGACGGAAAAGCCAACCCCCTTGTTTCTTCAAACCTCACCCTGTTCCAAACTCTGGAATCTCAAAAATTCTTCAAATATGTCAGAGTTTCTTTGATATGCGGCTTCTGTTGAATTTGGCCCTACCTAAGACATACTCTGACCTTCCAATGACTTGCTTATCACAGGTGAGATCAGCACTCTGTCCACGAACAGTGTCCTGGTTGCTGTTTGGCCTGTGCCAATCTCAGTTTCCTGCAAGCAGCCAAAGTTGCTTGCAGCTCCGAAAACCCTGTTCTTTACCGCTTGCAGTAAGATTTAATAATGGATGTAGTAGAAGTTGCAGAAGGAAGTGAAATGGTTTTGCAATCCCAACAGGCTTGCCTAGAGACCGATAGATGATCTGGGATCTCATGGAATCTGGGCTGTCCCAGTCAGCCACACTGGTTTAATCAGATTCCAACTTGCAAATGTTCAAACCGGATAGGCCCAGAACAGAAGAGGATCTTAAAAGTCTTCAAAGTTTCAAAGAAAATTGGTATGATTCAAAAAGATGGTGCGCCATTTGACCTGCAGGAATTGGCTGTTTTGTGTTTCAAAGCGTAAAAACCATCCATGTTTGCGGATTATATTGTATAATTTAATATTTTACAATTCTAACATATTCTAACCAAGTCTCTGCTTCTTCTTCTCTTCTCTTTCAAGCTCCGCGCGCTTCTTTCCTCATCACGCTGAAGCTGTGTCAAAAAAAGGACCCATCGGACCCATCGCACAAGTTCGGGCTGGATGGACAAACCCATCCTACCTGGATGCAAAAAATCGTCAAATGTGTCTCTGGTTTGACCACACTCTTTTCCAGCGATCAAAGAGTACCAACTATCTTTTTTTTTACAGGAGTCTGCAGGCTGTGATCAACCGACCCCTCATTTTAAAGGTTTTGGGGGTCCTGTGTTCAGCTCAAAAACCAAGTTTCGTGGGCCATTTAGCTCTCAAAGCTGTTCAAACCAACTGTTCCCAAAATTCATGATTCTCTTTCCTCGATTTGGCTTTCTCATGCTTTCTCCAAAAATGGCACAGCCCCAAAATATCTCAAAATATCCAATCAGTCATCAACCTCCACCAGCACCCCTTGCTCCGGGTTGCGGATCTGGACTTGCAGCTGCTCCTCCGCCTTTCGCTTCGCTTCCGCTTGGCGTCGCTGTTGCTTTTGCCGCCGCAGTAGCTCCTCGGCGCGAAAACATGGCGCCACAGCTGGAGGCGAAGAAACAGTGGTTGAAAGCGTCATGTTTGTTGCCAGAAGTTGGAGGTATTGTCCGAGATGTTGAAGGACAACAGCGAGTTTTCCTACAATAGTTCTGAAGTACATTGCCAACGAGGGAACCGCGTGTCGTTTCAAACGGCGTCAATATGTTCCCTATGTTGGTTCTGATGGTTCTGATCACGTTTCCTCAGACGTTGTTCAATTCGATGTTCAATCACAACTTGTTGGATCCGCCCGCCACCATTCCCATCTTCAACGCAGGATCAATGAACCCCTAGCTTTGTTCGTAGATTCATCGGCGAGCAAAAAATATATACTCATCGATTGAAAATTACAATTCTATGAATGGACCCAGTGGAACCCCTCATATTAGATAAACTGTCCGCTTATTGCTCCGGGTTTTTTCCAAGGACAATGCCCCTGTCCTTGCCACGCTGATGCTCTTGCCGCTCGCGCAAACAAGGAGTGTATTGCAGATCCAGGAACTCTCTACTCTGCACCTGGGATGGAGCCAAGGAGTGGACCCAGCCATGAAAATCACAGGGATGATCAATTTGAGTGGAGAGTCAGCTCATCCAAAATTACACCATTTTAGTAGTGAAACCATGTGAAACCCATAGTTTTGGAGATCCACCATTTTAAGAAAAAACCCCGTAGGTTCGAATGATTCAGTCAGTCCCTGCCTCAACGTTTTTCCACTTGGTCTGCAAAGCCGTATGCTCCTGTAGCGGGGTGGGTCGCTTCGGCCATACCCTTTTACCCACATCTCAAGAATCATAAGAAAACAAACCAAGATGACATTTTGGGATGTTGATTTGTCCACAAATTGGATACCCGAAAATGCAGCAATGGCTAATCATTTTTTGCGATTGACATTGTCATAAATTGGGGTCAAACCCACATTTTCAGACCCCCCATGCGGGCTATCCAGTTCTGGGAGGTTGTTGAGAAGTTTCGGTCAAACCTCAAGGCCACCCCGAATCTGTCAAAGTTTGTGACGAGATAATCATGATTCATGTATGATCCATATGGATCCATATGGAAAATTCCCAGCTCCCGGTACGATGATATGCAGTCAACAAAGCTCAGAATGTCAAGTTCGGTCAGGTGGATCAAACATGATCAAACAGCCAAATCCTTGAAACTCAGTGCAGATCTCCTTGCTCACCAATTCCTTCTTCTCCTTCTCTTTTTCCAAGCCTAAGCATGCTCAACATCCAAAACAGCACCTGTTGGATCCTTTTGGTACTTAAACACAACTATGAAAAATGATTAACTCCCCCATGAATGGAGAAAAGGCAGACCCCACGTTCTCGGACCATTCACCAAGCTTAACCGTGCTCCCAATGTTCCTATCCATCCCGCAGCCAGGTTTTCGCCATCCAACAGCCATTGTTTTACCCCCCACTATTGGACCATCATTTTGGGCGATATCACATGATATCACATGATATAACATCTAATGGCCAAATGCAAGAAACCATAAGAAACCCATTTTGTTGCTGGTTAGGTTCCTATTCCTCCATTGCAGAAACTTCTTTGCCACCAAGCGATTGACGTCTTGATACTGCGAAAGCCCCATGTTTATCAGTTAAATCTCAAGCCTCTCCAGATGTTTCAGTTTCAGTCAAAATCCCCCACTTTTTATGAGCTCAACCCCAAGCTCTGAGCTAAGTCTTCTCATTCAAATCGAGTTTTACGCCTCAAATCCCATGAAAACCCCACTCTTGGTGCTTCAACCCCGACGTTCCCCCACTTCGCAGGGCGCCCCAGGTGTCCCTCGGTGTCCCTCGGTGTCCCTGCAGAGATTCAGCCGCTGCATGTGCTGCTGGAGACTCGTTAAGTTGGCCTCGAAGTCGGCCGCCTCCGTATCCACCTGGGATTCACCGATGGGTCACCGATGGGTCACCGATGGGTCAGCATTCACCATGGGATACCCTCTGGGAAACATACAAAAAGCGCCATAGAAAATGGCCATAGAAATTGGGTGATGTCTGAATCCCCGTGAAAAATGGATAAAAATGGGGATTGTCCATAGTTATGTCAGTTTACCAGAGGGGATATGATTGGAATATTGGGATATAATGTATATCGTATTGGAATATGATTATGGTTGATATTGTCAAATGATTAAAAGTCATTGGGATCCTTCAACCATTGGAAAAGGCCATCCTATAAGCATCGACAAAAAATGCTGCACGGGCGGGATCACTTCAAACCCCTATTTTTTTCAAGATCCCCACCGATATCCCAAGTTGTCCCAATCATATCCCAATCTTTAAAAATAATGGGACAACTTGAGATTTCACCGACGATTTGGGAGCTCCAAAAGAAAAGGCCCATCTGATATTTTGGCATTGAACAAAATCTCAGCAAAAAACGGGATTTACCCCATTGTAATCCAGGCTGGTAATTCGAAAACCACAAGAAGCCAGTAAGAAGCCCTATTTCTTGACAGGAAAATCATCGACATTACTGGTGAATTGTGTTTCCCTGCCAGAGTGTACGAAAGGGCAGTGAATTGCGTCCTAAAAGGTGATTTTCATGGCTGAAATTGAGGCGAAAACTTGGAGAAAGTTGGATGGATACAGGTTTCCTGACATTTCATGGTTATCGTTGGGCCTATATTTGGGTGAGAAAAAATATTTGAAGCCAGACTGCTTGAAAACCGCCACAAAATCCTCGTGTTTATGCTGACTTGTCCTATGGGAGTCGTTCTGTTTGCACCCTTGTATTGGTAAATCACTACCATACTACAACTATCATGAGCTGATTGAAACAGTGTCAAATTCACTAAGTGTACCATCAAATGTAGGACTATTGCAATACAATTCTATCACTACAACTAATTCATCTACCCTCTGGTAATTTAACATAACTGATGGGAAAATCACAATTTTTAATGGGAAAACTCACCATCAATGGCCATTTTTAATAGCTAACTGTTGACATAACCAGAGGGTAATTCATCACCACCGTCCATGAGATGATCTCCGATGGCACCTGCTTCACCAATTTGACGTTGGTCTGAGCGGAGCTCTGCCGCCACAACAAAAAGCCATACAGACCTCGATCGGAAAAGAGCGAGGTTTGAGGCGCGCAAGCGCCAAGAGGCCTGGTGAGAACTGAAATTCAAATTTTTGACCATCCAATAATATCATATAATATCCAATACCTGGTGGAGATAGAAACAGAGAAATGTGAAGAACATAGCTTTTCCATTTTCATGAGGTTGAGAAGAAATCAGAATATCCACTCAGTTCTGTGTGGGAAGCTCAAATCTTCACCTGCAGGTCTGGTACTAGGTGGTGGGCATTTAGTGCATGTTCACTCTTCACCATCAAGTTTGAGGCTGGCCAGAAATGCTAGCTGCTAGTTACTGCTAGTTCAACTCATTTCAACTCTCCGCGGACCATTCCAGACGCAGCCTCCGCCGCAGAGGCCGAAGACCAGCACACAAATGAGAATGATCAGGATCACGATCAGAGGGGAGCCGTTCGCCTCGGCGTCATGGCATGTATAAAAAACGATGCACTCGTGGGCGTATCCCCCATACCATAATTGTCTTAGCATGCCGTCTACTAGATATAATGATATAATATAATACAATATAATATAATATATTATATTATATCATATTATATCATATTATATCATACCATATCATCTATTGTATTATATTATATTATATTGTATCATATATTGTATTATATTATCTTATATGATATCATATATTGTAGTATATTATATTATATTATAGTATAGTTATTTTATTTATTATATTATATTATATTATATTATAGTTGTATTATATTATAGTTGTATTATATTATAATTATGTTATAATTATATTATGTTTTATTATATTGTATTGTATTATATTATATTATAGCATTTTATGTGTATCATTACTATTACTGTAATAATAATTAATAATTAATGATTAATAATTAACAATGAATAATCAATAATTAACAAATCATAATTAACAATCAATAATGATGATGATAATAATAATAACAAACATAATAACAATAGTAATAATAGTAATATACATATAATATATACATACATATACATACATATACATACATATATATATATATTATGTACTAGTAAGTCCCACGAATCGGTGGAATGAGATGAATCGGTGATATCTCCGTCAAGTCACCCTTACTGGCGCCACGTCGGCCGTGGTCGTCAGCAACGTGGAGGTGCTGGTGACCGTCACGGTATAGGTCGCGGTCACGGTGGTGTTGCTGTCGTTGGTGTCGTTGCTGTCACCTGACGTTGGGCGGTGGGATATGATGAAAATGTCTGGGGGAGTTTCGAATTTGTCATTTTTTTCAGAGAAAAATGATGAAAAAAGTCTCAAATGGCTACTTACCAACCAAATGTTAGGCAGATTTCCTGTAAATTGATTTGACTTCGAGAATTGAAGCGTCGAGAGTTCGTTCTCGAACCAAAGAAATTGCATGAAAGATCATGAAAGTGAATGCAGCTGAAGCTGACCCACAAATCTGTATCTGTATCTGTTCAAAAATTGGATGGTCTCCCAAATGTCTTTGTTCTTCTCAAACAATCCCATCATTTTCACATAAAATCCTTCCCGCTAAACCCAGACCAATGTCCCCAGCACTATGGCCGCGGCCTGACAATTGCCTGAGGTACGGTTGCCCTAGGGTGCCCTGGATTAGCAGGACCAGCAGGAGCCCCACCTGGCTCCATAGGCTCAACAGGTGTGGTATAGTATCGTTTCTGCCATGCCCACTATCTTTGGTTTCTAAATTCAAGTGGCTTTTGGCCACAGAAAAATTGGATAGTGGGTGAACTGGGTAAACAAAAACGGTGATTTAACCAACAAAAAATGGAGGGAGAATGGGGATGTAATGGGGACATACTAGTATAAATACTCCCGATATTCAATCATGGCTGGCTGGATATCCCATTATTCCATGATGTCCCCACTATATCCACATGATACCACCATTTTTGTTGGTTGAATCCCAAAAATCATCCTTCCCAGTGCCATCCCCGCACCAGCTTTGCCATGGAATTCCCAGAGAATCACCTGCCAGGCGCGGCATTTTCAGATGAACCCAGTTGTGGTTCATTGGGGTGCTTGGTTGACCATCCCATTTGGGGGATCCTCCATTATGGAAACCCCTAAAATACGATTCCAGATTATGTAGAATTAATTAACATATTGGTAGTTTAGCAACCTTGCTTCTGATGATAAAAATTGATAAAAATGTTATAAATCAATAAACCATGTATATCGTCCTCAAAATTGGTACCCACCAATATTTGTAGAGTAACCTGGGTTTGGCAAAATCCTGGGCTGCTGCCCCTGCAAGCTGATCATAAACTCACTTTCTCTAAGATCATGTAATCATGTCACAGTTGTCCAATTGTTTCTGCATGTGAACCAGATATATTTGGGGGTTGAAACCAAGAAACCATGCAGAATTGGATGGTGTATACTAAAATTTATGCGGGGCGGCTCATCTCCAGAGAATAGCCTGAGTCGAACATCATCGCCACGGAAAACACAACTGGAATTTAAAGGGAAATATGGTCTACAATGTCTACAACTGGTCCTAGTCTATATCCTACAGTAATCAGATCATGAAGCCTGAGTTGGATATGTTGGAGTGTAGCTATCTTTTGTTGCCGGCAGCTTTGTCTTGGGGATACCACCTGTTTTTTTCTGGTACCATCTTTGGACAAGTTCACCACTGGATAGTTAAGTCCCATAAACTCCCATCATGTTTTTCCCTATCAAACATGTCATCAATTGGGCTAATAAATTCTGGAGATCTGCCTGGCACCACCGTAGGACTCGGCGTCGGGAACGCCCATCCGGGTAAAGGCCACGTTGCCCCGCGGTCGCGCGAACCGAAACGCGGCGGATGTTCCGCCACGGCCGGCTGGGAACCAAAAAGGTGGCAAAAGGAGAAGTCAGTTCTCGAAGGTTGTCCCATGCAGGATTTGTCTACCTTTTGTTGTTGAAATATGAAATGCATTTCTACATACGAAGATTCCATTGGATTTGCTAAAAAAAACTGCTGAAACAAATTCCCGCAAATAGCGAACTAACCCATGGGGAAAATAAGAAGAAACATCTTCAGCAAATGCTATGACGTCTACTAAGTTGATAGCCAAAAAACATGAATTTTGGAACTGTTCCATTAAAAAAAACTATGAATTTTACGAAACCCCATGATGGGGGGAGAGAACTATAGCAATATCCGAATGTCCGAGAACGGGGGATACCTCACTGTGCAATGTTCATCGGGATCCATCCCGCAAAATCTCGAGTTTGGCACAGCCTTTTGGATAGAAAAGTGTGGTGCCTTGTTTTCGGCCCGGGCCCAACCACACATGAATGTTGATCAAACATGATTTGCTACGGCTAAGAATCTCCCAAAAACTAGACTTTGTACTACTTTGTAAATCTTTAGCATTGCTGTGTATCATCCGTTACCATCCAAAGTGCGATTTTTTCGCGTCCCGCTTCGGCCGGCTTTAAAATTTTCGAGGTCCGCCAGCTACCGCCTCGGCTGCGGGATTCTTGGGGATCTCCGTTGGGGTTCGGCCTTCCATGGCACCAAATTCAATGGGGATATCAATGGTATGTATGTAACACGATCATTGAATATAATTGACATCCCTTCATATGAAAATAATATTTTAGTACAGTAATACATTAATAATATATTGATATATATATATTAAAGAAATTTAATGAATATCCCATTGATGCCCATGTATTCCAATATCACATGGTTTATATTGGCATAGCTCAGCCCAGGGCATGGCAGTCGGTCATGCGTCCACCTCCAGGGGCCGTTTCTGACGAAAATGGGGATGGGCTGATTTCTGTGAAAAAAAAATGCAAAATAATTAACAGTTAATTAACAGAAGGCAACCATGACCTACAGATACCTACAGTATGTGTAATTGCGAATTTATATAATTAGTTGTTCAATATGTCAAAAGAGAAACATCAAGAGTCAACCCAATAATAAGCCGGTCATCAAAGGTGTGGCATGTTCAGATATCAACCCACCCAGCTTCTCCCCGGCCTTCTCCTTTTCCTGGTCGCCGGTGCTGGGGGTGGTGCAATATCGGACCGTGGTCTCAAGAGATCTGCTACAAAAAAGGAATCAGCAAAGAATAATAGCGGTGCCGTGGTGATTGTGATGGTAATGGCGATGGTGTTGATCATGATGAATATCATTATTGTCATGACAAGATTGTGCTGGTGATGGTGCTGGTGATGGTGCTGGTGATGATGCCGGTCGTGATGCTGGTGATGGGGAGGAGGAGGGACGTGGACGTAATTGTCTGACAGCCAATCGGATGATAGCTGTGAAAGAATAGCCCGCATCATCGACTTTTTATCATGTCGGGGAAAAAAAACAAACAACGTGTTTTTCAGTGTTAAAGACACCCCCAGCTCCTGACTTGCTGCTCCTTTAATATGAACAGCCGTAAGCCGCCTTAAATCCCATATCCACCTCGCAACACCTGTTTTCTGCCAAAAAAAACTCAAGACCTCCAAACCATTAAAACCTCACCAAACTTTACCTAAAAACGAAAGCGAAAATGTCCAAACTCCACAAAAATCTCCGAAAACACACCCAAAAATGCCAAAATCGTGGATTTTTTGGAGATTTTTGGGAGATCCCAAAATGAGATCCCTAAAATCCCCACCTCTTCGTCGCCAGCGCCTTCCGCGGCGCCTTCCCCTTCCATGCCCTCGGCGCCGTCGGCAGCGTCAAGGGCCTCGCCGGCCTCGCCTTCGGCGCCTTCGGCCTTGGAGATGTGTTCATCCAATGAATATCACCATATATGCCATGTATCATATATAATTAAATATATATATATATTAGATTAGATGTATATATTAGATGTGTATATATATATATACCACATATATATATAATTATATATATATATAATTATATATATATTATACATATATCACATACTGCATGAAATGTCATAGTGTTGATCATATCTCATATATCCGACCTTCTATCCCCATGAACATCCCCATTTGACCCGTCGCCCAGAGGCCCCGCTGAAAACCGGCCGCCAGGCGACATCAAAAGCGGTGGCATCCGGGTCCTCCTCATCGCTGCGGCGAACCGACCTGGTGGAGCTTGAGCAGCCACCGTTTGGTCGGTAAGATTTTAGCTTAGGATTCTCATCCTATCCATAGATATCCATAGATATTCAAAGATATCTAATATCATTCAAGATGAATAAGGATGAACAAGAATCATCACGTCTTTCCTCTGCAAATTAACAACGCTCAATGCGGTGGGAGCCACAAACCAGCTGGCACAGGCAAGGGAGGCAATCTAGCCATCTTTGAGAACCAGATGCCAACCAGACAGCAATCAACTGCCCCAAAGAAAACATCTCGGCTCATTTATCAAGGAAGTCCATACGTAAAAAGGAGGAAGTCTTGCATATTAGGAGCATCAGAATCATCAGATCGTTTACAGTTTACTTCAAAAATGGCTTCAGATGACCAAAAAAACTCCTGTGATTCCCCAGAAAAATGGTGAACTGTGCCTGGATGGCTTCTCGGACGCCGTGCCTGACGCTACGCCCAGGGGATCATCCTATGGTCGGGCAGATTTCATGGGATCCGCAACGATTCGGAAAGATCCAACCAGCGTTGAACTCCGTTGAACCGTTGAAAATACATCTCACATCATCTCACCAGCGTTTAGCAAAGATGCAAACAATGAGATCACTGCTCCGGGCAAACGATGGCATAAGGCCGTAACAATACTTGTGAGTGTATGTATATGAATAAATCTATAGATGGGTTTCCCCACGAAATGGGGACCTAAGAACCAGGCTTATTGACCACATACTACGTGCGATGATCCTCCAAGTGGCGTATACTAGGATACTTAATTGCTTCTTAACTTAAAAAATAATTCGACTTGCCTAAAGTGAGAGGTATCATTGTTAAACTCCGTAAATGTTGTAGCCCCCTTAGTGTTTCTGAAGTCCTTGGGTCATCCTTACCTGGAATGTATTGGGATCACCAGGGCGTAGCTGCGTAGCTAACGTTTCCCAGGGATCACCAGGGTTAACCACCGTGCCATGGGGTACCGACCAAAAATCAACTGGGAAAGGACATCTCACATCACTAATCTTGCCATATCTTGCCCAATAAAGATCTAAGTGATCTAAGTGGTAAGCAGCTACTCCAAGTCATGGCAAAAGATTAAAGCATCGAACTACTCGAGGATTTGCCAGCGCCTTTTTGCACCGCAACTTGCTCTCTGCGCCCGGTGGAAGATGTGAGCAGTGTCCAGCAACACAAAAAAAAACGTTTTGACGCTTTGAGTAATGATACTCAAAATGATTCGATGTTAATTTTCAACGGACTTCTCAAAATATCCATGTGCTTTTCCCAAAGACTGAAGTTTCATGGAGAAGTTTGCCATGGGATCACTGCAAGACCTGGGCAGCGAAGCTCAACGCGGCATCGGCCGGTCGGCCGCATCAATGGCCTGCACGATGTGCTTGTGACCATAGCGCTCCTCACTTGCGTCCCCCGTGTCCCCCGTATCCCCCCTGCGCGGCTTTGGGGGTTGAGTTGGCTTTAGCCATTTACTAAGGGTTTGGGATGTTATAAGTAGTGATGCCCTTCAAAAATGGTGGTTTGATAGTTAGGAGATGATTGGGATTTAAGCAATGGAAATAGGAATTTAACCAGCCAAACTGGGAAGTGAAGGGTCAAAAATAGTGATTGAGTCGGATGGCTGAGTTAGTTTTGCCTGTTCCCTGAGGACCCATGGGACAATACAATGTGAATATATTGGATTTACTAAGTCAATAACAATAATAGACCCAATGAAGGGAAAGACTCAAAATGTGAAGAAAAAACAAGGTAACGCCGCCCGTAAAGACGCGGGCTGTTTTGCAATCAGGCATTTCTGATGTGCTTCAGGACATGTGGCACTTCTGGATGCCATTTCATGAATGTTCTTACTTCATCCTTTTATGTGCTTGGGTGTGCATCATGACACACACACAGATATATATATATATTATGTGTGTGTGTTTGTGAGTTAGAACTATTTCATGTCTTTGTGCAGCCCTATGCATGTCTAAAAAAATGACATTAATTACCGCCGCCCTAGACGCCCACCACCCCTCACCCCAACCCCAGCGTATGTCACGTAACGCTTCCAAGGAACGTTAACATCACCCCAAGCGTATGTCAACGGAACGTTAACATCACCCCACCCCCCCACCCAACCCCCAACCCTCCACAGGAACGTTAACATCACCCCACCCCCCCCACCCCAACCCCAGCGTATGTCACGTAACGCTTCCAAGGAACGTTAACATCACCCCACCCCCCCCCACCCCAACCCCAGCGTATGTCACGTAACGCTTCCAAGGAACGTTAACATCACCCCCACCCAGACAACCCACAAAAAGTATCAAAAAGTATGAACGCAGTAAAAAACGTTAAAAAAACCCGCGTCTCTACGGGCGGCGTTAGCAAAAACAAGGATGGTCGCATAGGCAAATACTAAGAATGAACAGTTTTGTGGGTTGAAAGTGAGGGGGCAATGTCCAACCCTATAATCAGGTGCCATCTTTCCTTATATTTCTATTGTTACCAGCTTTGGATGCCAGGATTCTTATGATCCGCCCTCATTGGTTTGGCTTGCAGGCATTCTGGATCAATAGTACAAATATTCACCCCTCCCGATGTGGCTAGTTCATCATTTGGGAAAATGTTTTAAGTCTTCTACCTGCAGTTACTGGTTCAATTTTAAAAAAACAATGGTTTCAAATGTCAAGCTGCACTCCCCCCTACTTTTCGATCGCCGGTTTTGGTTTGGATACCTGTAAAAAAAACAATGTTTAGCTGGTTTGACCCATACAGTATCCCAAAAGGGGAGTACCAAAGTATCCGTGCCAAGGTTCAGCAATATCTCGGGCGCTCCAACCGACTCCTCGAAAATGGGTTTCAATGGGACTGGTTTGAAGAGAACTGCCTGACTTTAGGGGGCAATTGATGACTGCATTTTTTCATGGATCTATATAACTTTATATAACCCACCTGAAACCCTGGTTGTGTTTGGGAAGTCTCCAACCATGATGACCAGAGGGTAGCATCAACTACAAGCTCTTCATGGCGTTTTACGTGTTCTGCATTTGTTCCTATGTGTTTCTGCCTTGGCAACTCACAAGCTATACTAATAGTAATTTAAGATGGCACTGAAAAAGAGACATTGCCATTTTTACCCATCTTGAGATTATCTAAATGTCAATCAACAAGAAAATGGAGGTATCCCAACAAAAAAAACATCCAAATTTGACCATGTTTACTATCGAACCTATGGTTTTGGGGATCCCCTATTTTCGGAAACCTCCAAAAAAAAAATCAAAAACCACCTGCCGAAGAGGAGCCGTTACGATCGATCTGAGCGTCTGCCGAATTCACCACCTCATCGCTGAGGGCGGTCAGGGGCAATGTCCAGCTAGACTAACCATGGTGGATGATTAATGGGTTCATAATTAGTGATATATATATATATGTGTGTGTGTGTATGTATGTATGTATGTATGTATGTATGTATGTATGTATGTATCTATCTATCTATCTATCTATCTAATCTATCTAATCTATCTAATCTATCTAATCTATCTAATCTATCTATCTATCTATCTATCTATCTATCTATCTATCTATGTATCTATGTATCTATGTATCTATGTATCTATGTATGTATGTATGTATGTATGTATGTATGTATATATTATATTATATTATATTATATTATATTATTTTATATGTTATATATTATATATTATATATTATATATTATATATTATATATTATATTATATTATATCATATCATATCATATTATATTTTATAATATTTTATTATATCATATTATATTATATTATTAGATTATATTTTATTTTGTTATACTATATTTATATTTATATTAAATTATATTATATAATATAATATTATATTATATTATATTATATTTATATTATATTATATTATGTTATATTATATTATGTTATATTATATTATATTATATATATATATATGATTGGTAGTGGTTAATAGTGATGTATGAATAATAGTGATTAAAATGTATGATTCATAGTAATGAATAATACTTACTGTATGTAATGTTAGATTAATAGCGATGATTAATACTGAATATTCGTTGATAATGGTGATTAATAGTTTGTGTTATTGAATAGGCTTGAAAATGGCACATGTCCAACGTGCATTCCCTTCACTGCAGCAGCAGGCATCATTCCTTTTCTGGGGTATGGTCATCCATCTTAAGCATCATGGTTTAATCTATCTTAATTAATCCAAAGTTCCTATGAATGAATGGATTGATGATCATCCCCCAATAATTCCAGAACTGGGCACACAATCATTACCAATCCAACTTGCCACCATGGTCCATATACCACCGGAGATATTTCATCCAAAAAGGTGCGTCCAAAAAACGGTGAAGGAGGAGGTGGCCAGCAAGACCAGCACGGCTCCCAAGTGTCCGCGACATGCGGCGCAGTGGAGGGCCTGCCACGTGGGAAACCCAACAATCAAGCGGTGAAGTTGGGGTTTACTATTTGGTATCATGTACGAAACCCAATGCCATAAACAACTACCATTTGGGGATGTTAAAAATGGTTTCTGGCATTGGATTTACCACGTTACTCCTAGTAAAAAATTGATGTTAATAACCCCCAAATGGTTGATTGTTGGAATGGTTCATTGATCCCCTCCCCCATTCATATTCAACATATTTCCAGAAAGTAGACTATGGTTCAATAAGGGAAAAAAACACACCTTTGGGACCTTCCCAGGATGGGATGAATAAACCATCCCAATCATCAACCATTTGGTTTCATGTTTCATATGATACCAGGCCCAAAAAAAACACACAACTGCACAGGTTTCTTGTTGGGTTTACCTCCTCACCGGTCGACAGTGGACCTCCAAGACCTGGGACCTCATCTTCGTGTCTCATACCTTCCAAAAGACCCCAGAATCTGTTGCTCTCTTCAGCCCAATCGAAGTTATATAAAGGCCAAATAAAAAAGACGTCCCGCCACATCCCGCAGCTGTCAAGCCGCCGTGAGGCCGGAGATATCGTGCGCATTGGCTTCAGTGAAGTCCTTGCGTTCCAGGATGCGCTGACACACCTGGCAGATCTTATCAGATCTTCGAAGTTTGGGGTGGGTTGGCTGAGGTAAACCACAAAATCCGCCCGGACTGAAGGTGCCGAGGCGTGGTAGTTAGCAGCGGATGATATAAACAGGTACAGCTTCAGTTGGGGCGGAGCCATTTTCATCATCGAAATTGTCGGTTTCGATCCGGCATTGCCGCAAGATGGGCTCCACAAAGGGCCAACTTTGGCCAACAAGGCCCCAACTTCGGCCCAAATTCCCACTTGGCTCCAACTTCGGCCCAACTTGGATCCAACATGGCACAACTTGGCCCCAAGTTGGACCCATTGAGAGAAACTTCGGCCCAAGTTGATCTCCACATGGGCTCACCATGGCGGACATGGCCGGCCCAATACGGAATCGTCAAAACACACGCTGTCACTGGGATTTTCTACGTCTTTTGGTGTCGATGACGAGCAATGCTCCCATGTTGTGTCTCCATTGGGCCCAAATGGGTTCGAAGCGGTCGCCAAAGGGCTCCAAGCTGCTGACCTGGACCTCCAGGTGCATCACATGCCAAGTTTGACCCAGGTCGGCTATCATGAGCCCACTTTCTCTGTCCTATTCACTGGGCGCGGGCGGTACTCGTCGCGAAGCGACTCGAATATGACCCATTGCCATTGCCAAGGTCCCTATCATTTACCTAAGGGGTAAATGAGCAACGCAGTATCGGGTCCCACTACGGTGTCACTACAGTTCCTGAACCAGATTGGCCTCAAAAAGCATATAAAACCATTCGGAAACTAACAATGTGTTGCAACCATCTTTTAAAACAAAAACTGTACAGGCCTATACAGGCAACTCTACCCAACATTCTGGGTCTGTCAAACAATCGGGTACCCGAAAATCCACAGGTTGTTCATCTTTGTCCGTTTGTCCCAATCAAAACCGAAAGGGATAAACAATTTCAGACAAACCCAGATGGTGGTGCTCCAGTAATTTTCCGTTATGGTTTATATATCCACGCAGATATCAGTTTCCCTGTCATTATATCCCGTTATATCCCCATAAAATGTCTGGTTTATATGGTTTTATATCATGCCGCTATCTTTGTCAGCTAATTGTCTAAAAACAATCTATCATTCCTTGTTACAATGTACCCAAAAAATTAAAGAAATACTTATCCCATAAACCCATGTGATGTGTATGTATATATATAATGGGGATGATATGGAGGATTCTCATGGACTTCAAAAAAAACATATGATTCATATAACTTGGTTTCTGTCATATGATGTATAAAGTATATATGTATCTGGGTAAATTTTAATATGTCAGTAAACTGAAATGAGTGAATCACATGTATAAATAATCTATAAATAGTTAACTGTGACCTCAGAGTTCATGTAGGGTGGTTATTTGGGGGTCATGTCCCTTATCAAAACCACTACTCGTGAGGTCCCCGTCTCTCGCGATCGCCTCTTTGAGTCCACACCATGCCGCATGGTGCAGCACGGTCCAGTCACTGTGGTCCTGCGCGGCATGCCATGGCCATGTCTGACCCTTTGAAAATGATGAATAGGAATAGGAATTCAAAGATTTTCTGAGGAACTGAATAATAGGATATTATGAATATTATAGCCAATGTTCAATTTTCTGAATAGGATTTTGTTTTTTGTTTCAACAGAACTGCGTGTTATGGATGTATGGATTCAATCAGTCATAAACTGTTGCTACTTGGTTTATAAGCCTAAGTGTTATATCATGAAGAATTGGATTTAAAAAAAAAACTTAAAAAAAAAATGAAGGACCAAAAATATGTCTCATTAGGGAATATGATGATTAATCTTCAACCCTCTGGAGAAGTTGTCCCCTGAAATTTGAATTTCCCCCATATCATCTTGCTGGTTGGAAAAAAAAAACATAAAAATCTTCCAATTCTCTCCACATCGTATCCCAATTACCCTCTGGTTATTTATATAACGTAGCCATGGAAAATGGCCCACAGAAATAGATGGTTTACCGTTCTTAAAAATAGTGATTTTCCATGGCAAACTGTTAAATAATCAGAGGGTATATCCAAAAACAATGTTTTTTTTCATAAAGCAATGACCTGCGTGGTCCCTAAAAACCTGCATCGACCCGACGCATCCAAAAAACACAGACGTCCTTCTCGTTCAGGCCTGAAGGAGGGGCTTGGACCAGCAGAGGGATTTCACCAACGACTTGGACATATGGTGACTGTATACCTCCAAATAGCTATGTTGATATAAAAATGAGAGAAGCCATGGGTTTTGGGGCACCATATTTCAGACAAACCCGAATCATTGTATCTTGACTACAGCAGCTCATGTCCCCTTGAGCTACAGCTTTGGAAGAAAAAAAACGTCAAAGACGTGAGCCGAACAAATCGTTCTGGTAAGTTCTGGAAAAAACAAATACCCTGCAGACACTTACTGCACTTCTTGGCTTGCGTAGATTCCCTCGTTTGTGGCCAAAAGTCAACATCCATTCATCTCGCACGGTGGGTGCAGATTCCCCAGTGGAACTTAAAGCAAATCCCATGGTTCAATTACGGTTTGGGTATAAAGCGCCTCATTGTCCGACGACACCCATACATGTATGTAGCGCATATACATATACAATACATTACATATACGTATGTGTATGTGTATATATATATAGAGAGAGAGAGTATATGTACATACCTATCAAATACATATTGCATAGGTGTAGTACATCTACATCTCATGCTTCCCAAACGCCGCATGGCCGCTGGTCAAGGGCGCCGGCCAACGGACGGCACCTGGCAGTTCGTCCAAGTTTAAGAGGCCCAGGGTGAGGTCCACGTCCTTCTCACAGATCGCCTTCCGCAAGACCTGGCTCCGACCACGATTTTGTCGCCGAAACATGGGGAGATTGGGATTTTACATGGGAAAAATCTGTGGATTTAACCAAGAATAATGGGATAATGGGATTATAATAGTTTTGGTCACAATTATCCGGGATAATGGGACAAACAACCATGGGACAAAGAGGAACTGGTTCAGAATAGGTTGTTCTTTCATCGACTTTCATCGACAATGGGACCCATGGGATCGGAGATTTTTGTCGGGACGCCATGCCGCCCAGGAACCATCCCATCTCTGGGGCGCGGTACATCCGCCATCCCCGCTTTGAAGGACCTCGGGTCTGGTGGAGCCTTTTGGATGACCCATGGCGGTCGTGCCATGGCAGTGGCACTGTGGCACGCACGTTTTTTGAAACGTGAGCAACAACCAGGATATACATGGACATACATCATCATACATCTGATTTTGAAAACCGTTTTGACCCCGTTTGAGAAAAACATCAACCATCAGTATCCAAGCACCCAAAAAGGCCGGCACAACCGTGGGCCGTGTATGTCAAACCCTTCCAGGATGCCCAGGTGATTAAATCATTCTGAGATAGATCCAACAAGGTTTTGGGATCATTATCCCCTAAAACGTCATATAGCAACATATAGTCCATATAGTTTCTAGTACTATGTCGGCGTGTCCAAAAATGAGGAATACGCAAGAAAAAGATGTTCGGACAAACTCATTGTCACTTTTGAAATCATTCCCCTTACCATAGAACAGCAAAATAAACCGCAATGAACCACAGGTTAAACCCTCATCCAATTCTGTGGCCAAAAAATACCCAAGACACCCTCAGCAGCTGAAAAAAAAAAATCCCCGCACCCAGCCACACATTAAACCAGCCCTGTGTGGGGCCCCAAAAAAAACGAGGTTTAAAGCCTACGCGGGTACCCGAAAATCCCATGCTTCAAGAACCCCTTTCTTTCCATTGATGTCAAACTATGGCCATAAAATGAAGTGAAAATTTCTGATTGTTTGATGGTCCAAGGCCAGGTGAGCCATGAGAAATTCCTGGATCGCATCCCATCGTACAGCTTGGTGACTAGGCGTCCCTATTGTAGTTGGCAACCAATCAAGGGGTGTATTTAATGTCTGGGTTCAAACCAAATTGTGGCTGTCCCATGATTATTTCATTTTGGTTTTCCCCAGTTGTTATTGATGTAAATCGCCATGATGCTCATAGTCCATTGAAAACCTGTTAAATTCCCCCATTTCCAGCTTCAACTGATGAAATCCAGCTGGATTTGGGGGTTTTCTTTTAAATCAGTGACCTCAAAATTCTAAACCACGGGACCCAATACTGTGCCAAATGGAGGTTTCGAAAAAGTCATGTGGGATCCCCAGTCGTCACCATGGGTGTTTCAATAGTATGGTCATCCCATGACTTGGAAAATCGCCAAAAAATCACCATTCATCACCCATATTTTCACCCCGAAAAATACCCAGCTCCAACGTCCCTTGCTCTTCACCCGCGCCACTGGATGATCTGCAGCTCGACCCGTCCATCCTTCGCGTTCTCCTTGACCTTGGCGCCTTCCGCCAGCGGCGCACCGTTTGCGGCGCCGTTCATGAGGTGCTGCCTGTGGGTCAAGGTCAAGGCTGGACGGGAGGGGGGAAAGATGCTGGGATATTATATATATATATATATATATATATATATATGTATGTATATATGTATATATATATATATGTATATATATATATATTTACATGTGTACATATATATATATGTATATATATATATTGTTGGACCAATCCCAAACACTGGTAGGGGCTCCTGAATTCCTATCAACCTCAAAAGCAAAGGGGACCCCTGGTCCTATCTCCAAATGAACAACGCACCACCCGGAGTGCTATGGCGACCGCGCCCTTTTGGCACCACTGCAAAGGTGCAAGTCGAGGGGCACCCTAAGCCCTCAACACATCCTGAGCCACAGGACCTTGAGATATTCATGGTACAGATACCCACATGGAGGCCAGTTGATACAACTCGTTGTAAAGCTTCCGAAACTGCACCAAGTTGGAGTGCAAAGAGTTGACAAATCACACTCCCAAAAAATCTTTCAAGATCTTTGTTTTTCAGTTTGCTTTGCAACAAAAATAAATTCTGCCTTCTCAGAGATACCTCATCATGGGTACGTCCAAGCGCAGGGAATGGAACTGTAACCTTGGAATCTGGGACATCAGCGATGAAAATTGCTCTGATAAAGTCCGCATCTCAAGATTGAAGCGAGATTTCTTCGCATCCAGCTTCATCAAAAATTCCCAACAAAAGCGCAAAAGCATGCAAGGCTGATTCTGGACCACTTGACTGCTGATACCATTGCTGACGCACTTTCTTGTCAGCACGTTGTCAAAGGATTTCATCAACATCATGGAGAATACATCTTCCTCGGGACAAAAAGGATCTCAGCACAGAGTTATCCATATCTTTAGTTAGACTATCAGCCATTTGAGCGGCACTGTGGACCCATTTAATTATAATCCCTTCTTTTAGACGATCACGGATTACCAAAGCTTCTAACATCGTCCTATATTCTGTACACTGAGGGATGGAAGTCTTTTGCAGAAGGTCATAAAGGCTTTTGCAGTCAACCACAGCGAAAGCCGGTGGAAGTTTCTTCAGAGTGATCTCAGGGGTCTGCCATTCTAAGTTAGGATTCAGCATCCAGGCCCAGTGCAACCGAATCCAGCTGAGGAGATCTAAGGCACCCGAAAGGGCGTAAGTCTCAGACGCCAGAGTGCTTGAAACAACACGGCTGATTTTCTTTGAGAACCAAACCAAAGGGCTGACAGCGGACATCTGAGTCTTATCAATTTCTTCTGTAGTGGCAAGTATAAGACATCCCTTCTGTGAATTGGCTTTTTCTCTGGTTGCGAATGCAGCATCAGAAAACGAAAGAAATCTTACTTGATCGGGAGGAAGAGCTTGTATTCTGATTTCTGTATCTGAGAAACGCTTCGCATCATTCAGCAACTTGTTCCCTTGGATTAAATCAGCCACAGTGGCACAAGTCACACGGGCTTGCAACAAGCTAAGGCGACACGATAAGTCTGGTCGTGTGTTCGTAGCGGCATACTGTATGCTTCCGATCAACCCTCTGAGGTCTTGCAACTCTTGGGAAGTGACTGGCAATTCCGGAGTTCTACGCCTGTCTCGATTGATGTTAATGGGAGCAATATCATTGAGATAGCCCTGCTGACTCAGAATAATGTCACCATTGATTTCCTGTCGCAATTGTACCCCGGTGAAGGTAAAGGCCTTGTGACGTTGACTTCCAAAAGGATACTTCTTTTCAAGCAGTTTGATTGCACGTTCAAAAGTCTCATCTCCACCCCCAATACCGTCGTCCACGTGAATACCCAAAACACCATGGATCTTGGGACCTTGATCATTGCTTGAGGATTTGCGAGGCAACACAAATAAGCAGGGGTCCATAGGAGAGATAATGAATCCGATGCTCAAGAGTGCACTTTTGAGTTCGCAGTACCAAAGGAGGGGAGCGTTGATGAGTCCATAGGCTCCTTTCAAAAGCTCACAGGTTTCATCATCCCTTAATCCCATTTTGGATCTAAGTTCTTGGGGAGGTTCTACACCAAGGATGCGGTCATCTTGCCTACTGCCCCTGAGAAACGCGGTTTTGATGTCGAACGATCGAACACCCCATTTGTGGCTAGCGATCGCCTGAAGGGCCAGCATGCGGCTGTCACGACCCAGAGTAGGAGAGTCCCTGGGTAAAGAATCCAACATTGGATCTTCGTAACCAAGGATAACAAGTCGCGCCTTGGCCTTGCGACTCATTCCAGTCTCAGCTTGTTCGACCTCATCCAATGGCTTCCAAGTGAGGACCCAACGGGATCTCAGAAGTTGGCCTTCAGGAACCTTATGACGTAAAATACGCCTCACCGTATCTGTTGAGAGCCAGGATTCAACTTCTTTATCTTTGGCCTTTTTGAAGAGAGAAATTTCTTCGGGGGATAGGTCTTTCATTTTCACTTCAATTTTCTGACGTTTGGCAGCGGACGCCAAGTAGATTTCCTGTTGAACATATGTCTTTCCTAGGCACTTCTGAAAATCATCCAAAGTCAAAAAGATTTCAGCATGAAATCCTTGGCCGGTATTCTGAGACTCACTGATGGTATGATTTACCAAACAGCTGCGATCTCCCTCAGGTATGTCTGCCACTTTCCGCAGGGCGAATTGTGTCTGACCAGTCCAAGGTTCTGGAAAAGGCAAATGACTTTGAACGTTGTCCTGCCAACTTTCAGTACGTTCAAAAGAACCACCTGACAAGTACTGTCCATAAGTGCATCTCATAGATTGGATATCATCTAAAATCACTGGACATGACCATGAGTCATGAGGAAAGAATGGCTCCAACCGAGGACACACATGATGTCGGATGAGTAGTTTGTCACGGATTTCCCAAAAGTCATGGGGCATCTCCTGAACCACTAAATCATCATCAACATCATCAGGAATTGGTGTAGTAATTGCAGGATCATCCGCAACTGGGGTGGGTGGTACTGGAGGTTCATCATCTGGTTGTGAGGCGGTCGATGGTGGTGGATTTGGTATGTTATCAGTATTGGCCGTTTCAGGGTTTGGAAAAATGGGATTGTTAATAACAATTTCGGGTTCATGTCGAAGTTGATTCTCAGGTCTAGGCAACTGCTCTGGCATTGGTCCAGTTTGGCTGGAAAGTTCCCTGAATTGAAACACACCATTTCCACTGCGTTCAGGAAGCTGATAAAGCCCTTGGTTTGAGTCAGTCACGGCTCCGGCTTCATTTTGAGACAGTGGGCGCACATGCTCTGGAGCGCAACGAAACAATTTCGTTAGATGGCTGATCCAAACCAGATTTTGTCCTTCTAACATCAACACCTTGGCCGGCCCATGCCAGGAACCAGGATTGGCGCCTTTACCATCTTTCCAGTACATGACATGTTCTCCAATGGAGAAACGAATGCGATCTGGTCGGGATCTGGCATGAAGCGCTCTTCTCAGGGATTGGCAATGGTCAGCCCGGACAAAAGCAAGACGAGCCGTCTCTCTTCGAGACAATTGGTCATGAAAACGTGCTCCCTCGGTCGAGGTTTCATCCAAGGCTCGAAAGCTGGCACTATCCAAAGCATCATTAGAATTACTCCCAGGAACAGGTTTCATCTTACCTAATACCCAAAGTTCTGGAGTATACCCTTCATGACGAGACATGGCATTCTTAGCGTTGCACAAATGGATTAACCCCTGCGTGAAGTCATCCCAATTTTGAATTGGTCTCTCACTGTGGTATTTATCCAACATGCTCATCAGGGTGGCTCCATGTCGCTCAGCCCGGCCGAGTTGCCAGTGGGCATCAGTGGGAATCACATAACTCCTAATGGAGTGTTCTTGGAGAAACCTGGAAAATTGTTCACTGTTGGCTTCCGTGGCACTATCGAACATTACTGTTTTTGGTGGCCCCGCCCAACGCAACCAGGCGTTCGAGAAAGCTTCTATCAGACCCTCGGTGGTGCGTTGTTGATAAGGAATGGCAACATGGTAGTTGGTGGCTGTGTCAATGAAATGAAAAAATGTATATTGTTTGCCATGTGGATCGGTCCATTCTGCTCCATCAAAGGAAACGAGGTCATTGAAATCTCGTGGATCTGAGAGCTTTCCAGGGCGTGCAGCTTTAGGGAGCTGGTGTTCGTGGCACACTGGGCAAGAGAAGTCCGTAACCGCACTGACATCCTTCTCATTCCAACCATATCTCCGTAAAGCCAGCTGTAGGACTCTGTGGTCAGGGTGACCCAAGTTCTGGTGAATTTTTCGAATTTGGTTCTGAGTGTGTATGTCTAGTTGAGTGAATTTTGGTCCATGGGTTATGGGATTTGGGTGGTTATTCGGGATTATTGAGTTGGGATTATCTTTAGGGTCCTTAGGGTTCTCATCGGATGCTTCACCATGGTTCGGAGATATGGAAGTTGAGCTATCCAATGGCCTGCTCTCAATGGACTCAACTTCAGGATTTTCTCTGGCACGCTTGGCTTCACGGTCAGGCATGGTGAGATCGGTCTGATTTGGTCGTTTGTGACTTGCAAAAACCGTCACAAGCAATTTTGAAGGGATGCCTGATCTGATCTGCTGACGATGTGACAGGGTTTCCCAATGTTCCCACTGTGAATCTTCAAAAATCTTCCGGTCGGTGCGGTGTCTCCCTATGGCTCTCCTGAAAGGAGCTATCCCCTTTTCTCCAATTGGACAAACCCTCATGCGATTAATGCCACGGCAAACATCCAAACAAATGATTTGTCTATCGGGATACCTGTCTTGAACAGCTTGGAACAACGGGCCATCTCGGATGACAACAGGTCCGGGTTATTGCCGATGCAGTGCCCGAGGACCGCTGCACCGAAACCAGGGCCGTAGCTAAGCGCCACCAGCATCCGAATCCGCGGTGTCCTCCTCACGGAGAGCTTGCGGAAAGGAAGCGAGAACTCTGCTGCGCACCACTGCCAGATGCTCCAACACCTCAAAGTCATGGGGGCCGCCAAGTGGCCAACCTAACCTGCGCTGCAGCGGGTCAAGGACAGGTAC